ATCATCTGCTGTATGTTGTTGTGCTGTTATCACCCAGTCTCATCATCTGCTGTATGTTGTTGTGCTGTTATCACCCAGTCTCATCATCTGCTGTATGTTGTTATCACCCAGTTATCACCCAGTCTCATCATCAATCAAATTTCAATCAAATGTATTTATAATGCCCTTTTTACATCAGCAGGTGTCACAAAGTGCTATACAGAAACCCAGCCTAAAACCCCAAACAGCAAGCAATGCAGATGCACGGAGAGCATCACTATCACTGGGTTGTGCACTTATCACCCAGTCTCATCATCTGCTGTATGTTGTTGTGCAGTGCTTACAGTAACAGTACCCAGTGATGCTCTCCGTCTGACATTTACATTTTAGTCATTTAGCAGACGCTCTTATCCAGAGCGACTTACAGTAGTGAGTGCATATATTTTCATACTAGTCCCACGTGGGAATCGAACCCACAACCCTGGCGTTGCAACCGCCATGCTCTACCAACTGAGCTACACGGGACGAGTGTGCTGTATTGAGTGTGCTCTGCTCTACTGTTTAGTAGTCTGTGAGGGTAGCATATAAGCCTATATGGTGAAAAACTGGATTTATTTGGGACACAATATTAGAAACCATCCTTCATATGTGCTAGACTATGGGTTAGACTAAATCCTATTGAATGAGGATGCTCTGCCCTTCTGTATAGTCGTCTGTGAGGGTATATGTTGAAAGAACAGGATTGATTTGGACATAAAAAAAGAAAGAAAACTATCCATCATCATTCACTAGGATTCCCTATGTAATCCACAGGCTCCACTTAATAACTGATAGATTTCCTATTACGACCAGAGCCATATCGGCCTTGGGCAAAAGTAGTGCACTACTTATGGAATAGGGTGCCATTTAGGACGCAGAATATATATGCTGCTTCGGTCAGAGTGACTCATGAAGAGTGCTTGTTGCTCAGCCGTGCTCCACAGGCTCCACTTAATACCTGATAGATTTCCCATTACGGCTCAGACAGCAGAGATGGAGCACCAGGTAAACCAGGCCATTTCCTCTCTCCTGCTCTTACTACTGCTTTTATGATAAACTCCCCACCACTCAAGAGAATGAACGACAAGACTTCTACTACCATCCAAGAGACGAATTAGAAGCTTAATGTGGAAGGCTATATGGAAAACGGAAGCAAGGTTTTTCCTTCCTTGCTCACATCTGCCATTTAGCCAAAGCGACTTACATCAGTCCTCAGACTTATGTGGTCCTTTGTAGATCAGTTGGTAGAGCATGGCGCTTGTAAAGCCAAGGTAGTGGGTTTGATTATCGGGACCACCCATACGTAAAATGTATGATCGCATTAGTGTAAGTTGCTTTGGATAAAAGCATCTGCTAAATGGCATATATTATATTATCAGTGAGTGAACACATTTTTGTATGGGTGGTCCAGCTGGAATCGAACCCACGACCCTGGCGTTGCTAGTGCCGTGCTCTACCAACTGAGCAACATAGGACCTTCTTTGCTCGCCCTCCTCATACTTGTTTAGCAGTCCTCCATTAATGTCTATGGACTTGACTTGAACTGTGGCATAGAGCACCATGCACGATGCCAAGCCATAATGCAAAGGAAGAATATCGTAATAGGTATATATTTTAAGTTGATTTGACACTGAATAGTGCTATGTAAAACCTAAGTGCTGTGTTTAGAGGTTAGTTTTCAGTGTGCCTGCCTGGCTGTCAGTCTGGTAGGGGTTGGCATGCGTCTGCTTGCTGTGGCCTGGCATGTTCAGACAGAGACGTGTATTGAGTGAGACCTCAAGTAATCGACACTTAGGCAGCAATTACAGATAAGAAGCCCATAAGAAGCCTAATTGTCTATCCTGAGGTGCTTGTGGATTTTCACTGATTAAAGGGGAAATCTGGAAATCAGAAAACAACAAAGTGGCACCCAGCCACTTGTTTTGGTAAACAGTTGAGGGATGGGGCCATTAAGTGTACTGAACACCTGTGGACCAACATCAAAAGTCTTGCCTAACATAATATAGGCTACATTTTTTATCATATTTTGATTCCAAGGGAGGGAGCCCTTTGGTGCAGGAAGGGTTGATTCATCTGGATTTCCGTCCGTGCCTGAGGGTCGACTGGCCAGCTCCAACTGGCCTCTTACAAATCATGGTGTGTCACGATGTGTGGAACAGAAGATGACAGTAACATTGTTTGACGGGACCACACTGTGTGCCACGCACGGCAAGAACAGATATTGCTGCCGACCGCCACCAAGGGATTTCCTGTTCCCTCGGCTTAAGGTTGTAACTGTCATCTGTCCACGGCGATAGAAGCTGAAAGCAGACATGGGGCTATAGAGGAGGAGCGAGGAGAGAGGAAACAGAATCCCGCCAGTCCCTGTCAGTCCATAGATTCAAACCAACAACCCTCTGGTTAACTGCCTGCCTCTCTAACCTCAAGGCTACCGCTGCCACCAGAAGTGGGAGCGCTGGGTAAATTAGGGACAGAGTGAGTGGACAGTGCTCCCTCACCCCTGAGATTACAGCTCCTCAGTTTGAAATGGAGGCACTGCAACGAAGTGAGTCAGACGTAGCAACGTTACATCTACGCACCAGGTTCAGAAAGCTGTCAAGGCGAGACTTATATAACTATAATCTCCCAGGACAGGTGGACTGCATACCTGCCTCCTGGACTCTCTCACATGTTCATCTCTGATGGATCTACATTCATGGTATTCTCTGGCTATGCAGAGAAAGGTCAGGTGAACAAACGAACAGTGATCCTCCTGGAATCATTCACGCAGCAGGCAGAGAGAGAGTGAGTTTCACTGGATACTGTAAATAGTCAGTCACGTTGCATTCTAGGCACTCTACACCCCCCCCCCCCCCCCCCGATAATCACGCGCACAGGACAGAATGAAAGGAAGGTATTGTGTGCTCTGCTGAATGTGCTGAATGTGAGCTGTGTGTGTGTGTGTGCAGTGAGGACTCGCTGTAATGCGAAGACGAGCTCAAAACCAAATGGCACGCCAGCCCTCAGGTGCTTTGAGGACACAGCCTTCAGATGCCTCTCTCTCCTTTCAGCTGTCACCGGAGAGGAGTGACATGTTTAATGGGCTTATGTTAACTAATGTTTCAATTAGGAAGATCATATGCATGGGAAGTAAACACACGTGCATGTATGCTTATGCATGTCATGTTCAGGGATTATGAAGAGTACTGTAGTAGAATGCATCCTTTGATTTGATTCACACATATACACAAACAAACACACACAAACACACACACACACACACACACACACAGGGTCGACACAGTTGTCTTTTGTCTAGGCGTTTATCCTTTTTGTTGTTTTGTCCTTTCACGAGTAGAGTGAGTCAAAAACAACAGGGGAGATCAGAACAACTGTTGAGTGGTGTTGATGCACACTGTGATTGTGACAGCTCTAGTTATTCCTCATTGACCCTAATAACCTCTCTGGCTCCTTGGCTCTGGAGGTCACCAAGGTTTCACTCTGTTTACCGCTGCATTAATGTCAACTGATTGCTGGGCCAATTTGACAAAAAACCCATACATGGCCTTTTCTCTCAGTGCTGTGATGGGTCAGATCTGATAATATAGAGTGGAATAACTGCCTGCGACACACACACTACAGGTTGACACTGGAGTGAAAATTAATTCCTGTCCCATCTTGTCCTGTAAATTATTTTCTACAACCCCCAGAACATTCCTGTCCCGTGCTCATTTTTGCACACAGAAATATGTAGACTATTGTGTTTGTTTACGAAGTATTGAAAATAATGTAATTAATGCATTATGCGACGGTGTGGTTGTCTTACCTATTTTAGTTAAATGAACTGACTGTAGGCCGAAGTTGCACTGGATAAGAGCATATTCTAAATGAGCTAAATGTAGATTGATTAAGGCTGGAGGATGAGGACAGAGACCCCAGCTCAAGCAAAGCACCGGCATAACACTGTGGACAGAGACCCCAGCTCAGCAAAGCACCGGCATAACACTGTGGACAGAGACCCCAGCTCAGCAAAGCACCGGCATAACACTGTGGACAGAGACCCCAGCTCAGCAAAGCACCGGCATAACACTGAGGACAGAGACCCCAGCTCAGCAAAGCACCGGCATAACACTGTGGACAGAGACCCCAGCTCAGCAAAGCACCGGCATAACACTGTGGACAGAGACCCCAGCTCAGCAAAGCACCGGCATAACACTGTGGACAGAGACCCCAGCTCAGCAAAGCACCGGCATAACACTGTGGACAGAGACCCCAGCTCAGCAAAGCATCGGCATAACACTGAGGACAGAGACCCCAGCTTAGCAAAGCACCGGCATAACACTGTGGACAGAGACCCCAGCTCAGCAAAGCACCGGCATAACACTGTGGACAGAGACCCCAGCTCAGCAAAGCACCGGCATAACACTGTGGACAGAGACCCCAGCTCAGCAAAGCACCGGCATAACACTGTGGACAGAGACCCCAGCTCAGCAAAGCACCGGCATAACACTGTGGACAGAGACCCCAGCTCAGCAAAGCACCGGCATAACACTGAGGACAGAGACCCCAGCTCAGCAAAGCACCGGCATAACACTGTGGACAGAGACCCCAGCTCAGCAAAGCACCGGCATAACACTGTGGACAGAGACCCCAGCTCAGCAAAGCACCGGCATAACACTGTGGACAGAGACCCCAGCTCAGCACAGCACCGGCATAACACTGTGGACAGAGACCCCAGCTCAGCAAAGCACCGGCATAACACTGTGGACAGAGACCCCAGCTCAGCAAAGCACCGGCATAACACTGTAGCCTACAGCTGAGCACTGTGCACATATGAACATTTACAACACATTAACATTTACAACATGAACATTAAACATTTCAAAAACCTGAGTGGCAGTACTACATAGGTCAATCTATTTTTATTTCACTCTTCACCTCAGATGGTACGAGTTTAGTTAAATACTCAAACAATTGGGCTTGACGGTAAAGTTGTTGGGAGTATGAGCAGCTATGCCGCTTCAGGCCGCTTGTCCCGCTCTCTGGTTGGTAGCCTATTTGATTAAACCGCAGCATTTTTTACAAGCCGTGTACTCGGTTCCTTCTTTGTCAAAGACAACTCCATCAAATGTAGCTAAAACGTCACTCTTTCCTTGGCTCTAATGTTAATGTTAGTGATGAGTCCTTGGCTGCAACAAGACGTTGCAATTCCTCTATTGAAGGCTTCATCGTTTAGCCTACTGACGTAGGTTGGCATCTGAGGTAGCATAGTGACTGGCTACAAGTGGAGCGAGGCGTGAGAGTGAGCTGACATAAGAGGGAGGGGGAAATGACCTTTTTTTTTTTTTTTACAGATTTGTATTATGTAAACTATATTAGGCCTAGCCTACACCGTGGTTTTTCAACGTGGCACCGTCATTGGATGCCACCTTTCCAACAAGTCAGTTTGTAAAATGTCTGCCCTGCTAGAGCAGCCCCGGTCAACTGTAAGTGGTGTTATTGTGAAGTGGAAACGTCTAGGAGCAACAACGGCTCAGCCACAAAGTGGTAGGCCACACAAACTCACAGAACGGGACCGCCAAGTGCTGAAGCGCGTACCACATTGAAATCGTCTGTCCTCGGTAGCAACACTCACTACCAAGTTCCAAACTGCCTCTGGAAGCAATGTCAACACAATAACTGTTCGTCGGGAGCTTTATGAAATGGGTTTTCATGGCTGAGCAGCCGCACACAAGCCTAAGATCACCATGCGCAATGCCAAGCGTCGGCTGGAGTGGTGTAAAGTTTGCCGCCATTGGACTCTAGAGCAGTGGAAACACGTTCGCTGGAGTGATGAATCGCGCTTCACCAACTGGCAGTCCGACGGATGAATCTGGATTTGGCGGATGCCAGGAGAACACTACCTGCCCTAATGCATAGTGCAAACTGGTAAGTTTGATGGAGGAGGAATAATGGTCTGGGGCTGTTTTTCATGGTTCGGTCTAGGCCCCTTAGTTCCAGTGAAGGGAAATATTTAAGCTACAGCATACAATGACATTCTAGACGATTCTGTGCTTCCAACTTTGTGGCAACAGTTTGGGGAAAGCACTTTCCTGTTTCAGCATGACAATGCCCCATGCACAAAGAGAGATCCATACAGAAATGGTTTGTTGAGATTGGTGTGGAAGAACTTGACTGGCCTGCACAGAGCCCTGACCTCAACCCCATCGAACACCTTTGGGATGAATTGGAACGCCGACTGCGAGCCAGGCCTAATCACCCAACATCAGTGCCCGACCTCACTAATGCTCTTGTGGCTGAATGGAAGCAAGTTCCCACAGCAATGTTTCAACATCTAGTGGAAAGCCTTCCCAGAAGAGTGGAGGCTGCAATAGCAACAAAGGGGGACCAACTCATTATTAATGGCCATAATTTTGGAATGAGATGTTCGACGAGCAGGTTTCCACATACTTTTGGTAACGTAGTGTATCTACCTCTGTCGAACCATTATCTCTGCACATTGTAAATATGGTATTGGAACTGACCCTGAACTGACCCTGTATACAGCTTACTTACTTTATCGTGTTCTTCTTATTTTTATAGCTTGTGTGTTTTTATTCTACCTTGTTATTTTTAGGATTACATTGTAATTGATTACTGCATTGTTGGGGTAGGAGCTTGCAAGAAAGGCATTTCACTGTACTTGTGCATGTGACCTTAAAACTTGAAACTAGATAGAGGGGAGTGCTGGAGAGAGAGAGAGAGGGGGGAGGGTGAGAGAGAGAGAGAGTGAAGAGAGAGAAGTCCTTCGCAGCAATGTTCCAACATCTAGTGGAAAGCCTTCCCAGAAGAGTGAAGGTTGTTATAGCAGCAAAGGGGGGACCGACTCCATATTAATGCCCATGATTTTGGAATGAGATGTTCGACGAGCCATGTAGTGTATTTCCACCCCAAAAACTCAGTTTATAACTATTCCTGTACTGCCTGTTCCTGTGGACTGTTGATCCTGTCCCGTCCTGTCCCGAACTTGACTAGAACTTGACTCCCATTCCTGCCAGAATCCCACGGGACCCGCAAGAGTCCTGTTCCGTGTCAAGCTCTAAGTCACACACCACTCCCATTCAGCACTTCTTCCCCTTCCTGTCTGATGTTGTATTTGACATCCATCAGTCGTTGTATGTAGCCAGTTAGTCAATGATTCCTTAGGGCTCTCAAAGCTCACCCAATCAATTAGCATTATTTTCCCTGGCATCTCACTGGGTATTTTATGGGCACGGCTTTGAGTCTGCCCTCTCTCTGGAGCCATTCGTTGTGCAGCCGTCCTGTACTGCAGCCCAGAGCCACCTGTTCGCTAGTTCAAATCCTGAGCCGACTAGGTGAAACATTTGCCGATGTGCCCTTAAGCAAGGCAGTTAACCCTAATTGCTCCTGTAAGTTGCTCTGGATAAGAGTGTCTGCTAAATGTCAAAAATGTTAATGTAAAAGTGTGTGTGTACTGTGTAAGGAAAATTGTGTGTACTGTGATAAGCAATAGTTCTACAGTCCTCCAGCCTCCACCAGGCTCATCAGCCCAGGACCAGTCTGCCCATTCTGATAAGAGGCAGCCTCACTCAGCCCATCTTATCTTGTGCCCAGTACCCAGCTCCTTCATAATGGTGATGCATTGCTCTCAATGTGTCACTTGTTTAGGAGATCATGGACTGCCACTACAGCAGCAGACTAGTGTCTTTGGAAGAGCAGATGTAAAATTTCCATTTTCAGTTTTGAAAGTAGAAAGGTTTACTTGCAGGGGGTGTTCAAGGTTTACTGAATGCTAGGAGTTTCTTCTCAAATTCTTCCTCAATAAGTTGTTATAGCTGAAATGAAAAAGCTCAATATTTTGGTAGCAGTGTGTTAACTGTGTGCTGCGCTTGTTGGTTTTAGGAGTAGTGTAAAGAGATTAAGCTCACAGTTCCTGCAGAGGATGGAAAATAAAACATAGCGAGGCCTCACTCTGTGAGAGCTGAATGAAAGATAGGCCTGTATGTTCACGGTAATTGTTAAGAATGCATGGACAGAGAGCCCCACATGTGGCACGACTCCGTTCAGCTTTGTTCAGTCTTTAAACACACGAAGAAGCTGCCATATATATGGAGCTTGTTGTTGTAATTTAGTAAGGTAGAAACCCCTTTCTTTTCCCATTAGCTGACTCCATGACCCCCTCTTTGTCTCTGTAGCCAGTTCAATCAGCATGAAACGATTCAAGTCTGTTTCCTGGATAAGGGTTGTGGTTCATGCAGTGGGATATGCTTGCAGAGAGAAGGGGGTGGAGGGGGGTTTGTATGCCTGGCTGCCAGTCCGGTATGTTACACTCACTGAGGCTTTGTGTCGGTAATGACCGCCCTGGTTTACTAGAGCCATGCTTTTGTCTCAGAAACAGAAACTACCCCCATGGTTCTCATTAGCTCAGGGGCGGCCCCCGGTTCAGTTCAGCTGCGGTCCGCACGTTAAATGACTGTGACCAGAGGTGTTTTGGCGGGAAATGTGAGAAGTCAGCAGCAATACAGAGGGACATACAGAGTTTCTGTATAAAGAGAGATACTGTATAAAAAAGAGAGAGAGATTAAACCTTTGTGAGTGCAATGTTTACTGTTAATTTCGAATAGTTTTTTGTTTAAAAAAAATCTCAGTTTTGTTTGTTTATTTCACTTGCTTTGGCAATGTAAAATACACTATATGTACAAAAGTATATGGACACCCCTTCAAATTAGTGGATTTGGCTATTTCAGCCACACCCGTTGCTGACAGGTGTATAAAATCGAGCACACAGCCATGCAATCTCCATAGACAAACAACGGCAGTAGAATGGCCTTACTGAAGAGCTCAGTGACTTTCAACGTGGCACCATCATTGGATGCCACCTTTCCAACAACTCAGTTTGTCAAATTTCTGCCCTGCTAGAGCTGCCCCGGTCTACTGTAAGTGCTGTTATTGTGAAGTGGAAACATCTAGGAGCAACAACGACTCAGCCGCGAAGTGGTAGGCCACACAAGCTCACAGAACGGGACCGCCGAGCGCTTAGTGAAAAACAATAACTGTTCGTTGGGAGCATCATGAAATGGGTTTCCATGGCCGAGCAGCCATACACAAGCCTAAGATCACCATGCGCAATGCCAAGCGTTGGCTGGAGTGGTGTAAAGCCCGCCGCCATTGGACTCTGGAGCAATGGAAACGCATTCTCTGGAGTGATGAATCACGCTTCACCATCTGGCAGTCCAATCAACAAATCTGGGTTTGGCGGATGCCAGGAGAACGCTACCTGCCCTAATGCATAGTGCCAACTGTAAAGTTTGGTGGAGGAGTAGTAATGGTCTGGGGCTGTTTTTCTTGGTTTGGGCTAGGCCCCATAGTTCCAGTGAAGGGAAATGTTAACGCTATAGCATACAATGACATTCTAGACGATTCTTTGCTTTCAACTTTGTGGCAACAATTTGTGGAAGGCCCTTTCCTGTTTCAGCATGACAATGCCCCCATGCACAAAGCGAGGTCCATACAGAAATGGTTTGTCGAGATCGGTGTGGAAGAACTTGACTGGCCTGCAAAGAGCCCTGACCTCAACCCTATCAAACACCTTTGGGATTAATTGGACCTCTGACTGTGAGCCAGGCCTAATCGCCCAACATCAGTGCCCAACCTCACTAATGCCATTGTGGCTGAATGGAAGCAAGTCCCCGCAGCAATGTTCCAAAATATCATGGAAAGCCTTCCCAGAAGAGTGGAGGCTGTTATAGCAGCAAAGCGGGGACCAACTCCATATTAATGCCCATGATTTTACATTTACATTTACATCATTTAGCAGACGCTCTTATCCAGAGCGACTTACAAATAGGTGCATTCACCTTATAGCCAGTGGGATAACCACTTTACAATGTTTTTTTTAAAGGGGGGGGGGGGGGGGGGGGGGGGTAGAAGGATTACTTTATCCTATCCCAGGTATTCCTTAAAGAGGTGGGGTTTCAAATGTCTCCGGAAGGTGGTGAGTGACTCCGCTGTCCTGGCGTCGTGAGGGAGCTTGTTCCACCATTGGGGTGCCAGAGCAGCGAACAGTTTTGACTGGGCTGAGCGGGAACTATGCTTCCGCAGAGGTAGGGGAGCCAGCAGGCCAGAGGTGGATGAACGCAGTGCATTTTGGAATGAGATGTTCGACGAGCACGTGTCCACATACTTCTGGTCATGTAGTGTATGTTTCCCATGCCAATAAAGCCCCTTTGAATTGAAAAATGGAGATGGGGGAAAGGAGAAAGATGTCCTCTCTTACCCATAGACAGTAGCAGGCCAGGGGCCCTTGTGTAAATGTGTCCTCTCCTAAGCCTGACATACTGTCCCCATTCCACTCTCTGATCTTAATTTTCTGCCCTCTCTCTCTCTCTCTTTCTCTCTCGCTCTCTCTTTCTCTCTCTATCTGGCTAGCGACCAGCGCACCGTACTGAGCATCATGTGCTCACAGACAATTTGAAATTCATTTGTTCTTCCATTAAAGCGCATATTCAGCACGACTTTCTTATTTTTGCCACCATCCCCCTGCGAACAGAACAGCCACACCTCAGCAGCATCACATAGCAGAAATACCTGTGTTTCAAGGGCACCTTGGTCTACAATCTACACATTCTACAGTCTAAACAGTCTACAGTCTAAACATTCTACAGTCTAAACAGTCTACAGTCTAAACAGTCTACAGTCTAAACAGTCTACAGTCTAAACAGTCTATAGTCTAAACAGTCTACAGTCTAAACAGTCTATAGTCTAAACAGTCTACAGTCTAAACAGTCTACAGTCTAAACAGTCTATAGTCTAAACAGTCTATAGTCTAAACAGTCTACAGTCTAAACAGTATACAGTCTAAACAGTCTACAGTCTAAACATTCTATAGTCTAAACAGTCTACAGTCTAAACAGTCTACAGTCTAAACAGTCTACAGACCATCCCTATTGTCATTATGTGACCGACTAGGGTGCAAACCTAAGTCTGCTGCCACCCCCAAGTAAATGTCCATCTGCTCAACTAATGTGTGCGATTGAACAAGTTGAGGAGACTAAACTGCTGGATGTAACCCTAGATAGCAAGCTGTCATGGTCAAAACATCTAGACTCAATGGTTGCTAAAATGGGAAGAGGTCTGTCCATGGTAAGGCGTTACTCTGCTTTCTTAATATCTCAGTCAACCAGACAGGTCCTACAGGCCCTAGTTTTGTCACACCTGGACTACTATCCAGTTGTGTGGTCATGTGAGGCAAAGAGGGACATAGGTAAATTGCAGTTGGATGTACATGGCACATATTGCACTTAGATGTACACGGAGGGCGAATGTCAGTAACATGCATGTCAATCTCTCCTGGCTCAAAGTTGAGGAGAAAATGCCTGCATCAGTTGGCACACAGTTCGGACACTCATCGGTACAATACAAGACATGCAATCTGAGGTCTCTTCACAGTCCCCAGGTCCAGAACAACGTCTGGGAAACACACAGTATTAAATAGAGCTATGACTACATGGAACTCTGCCACCCCAGGTAACTCAAGCTAGCAATAAAACCAGATAAAATAACACCTTACAGCACAATGGGGACATGAAGAGACACAGTCATTTTGATATATTTTGCATTGTAATTTACACTGTATTATGTGTTGTATCATGTAGGTGGGTGGCCTTGCACGAGCCTTGGCTTGTGCGAGCCAGAACGGCTCATAGGGCAGGAGCCATCTCCTGTTTCTGAAGCGTGAGGCAGAGGCAGGAGATGATGTAGTATTATGTAGTGTTATGTATATTATATTACGTCTTTTATTTGTTGTTTTGTTTCTTGTTTGGACCTTGGCAACGGCTAATTGGGGATCCTTAAAAAATACTAAAAACTGAAAGGGAGGTTTGCTGTACAGCCCTACACATTCTCAGACTATCTCTATAGTTGTTGCGTGACTGACCAGGGTTCGAACCCAGGTCTTCTGGCACCACAAGACTGTGTTAGCGCGCTGAGCTAAAGCCTAGGTATTAGCTTGGGGAGCTAACACAAGTCTTAAGGTTTAAGGTAACGCTACTCATCAAACGATTACAATATGTAAACACTTTCGGTCACTTCAGTATATTGTACTATGTTTTGCCAATTTTCTTTATTGCACTGGATAAATGTGCTTGTCATTTAGTAGGCCGGGTTTCTATTTACACTGTAATTAGCTGTAATAGCATAGCAGGCCTAGATCTCATTATTATACGCCTCATAACAAGCAAATCATTTCAGCTGGAGAAGTGTTGGGGTTTATCTTTTGGCAATGCACTCAGCTTTACTATAAGATTATATTCTAAGATTAAGAGATTCAAAATGAAATAGCGGGGCAGAAGTAATCTGTTCTAATAAAAAGCTATTAAACGTGATGGAATCAATGAGACGTGTGTTAAATAAAGAGCTTAAATAATGAGCTTCCAAGTTACTCTTGTTCACACTTGCTGGGTATTACATACATGTCCCAAATGGCACCCTATTCCCTTGACTCGTTAAAAGTAGTGCACTACGTAGGGAATAGGGTGCCATCTGGGACAGAGCCACAGTGTTACGAAGAAGTGACTGGATTTTCCCAATGGGATTTCCCAATAACTGGAATGTCTCAAGATTGCTTGTTAAGTTTGGAGAATACAATAGAAAAACACGCACACACTCACAAACACATGCGTGCACCCACACACTAAACAAAACACCAAGGGGAGAAAGACAAAATGCCAAACGGAGTCTTTTGTTGAGCTGTCTTTTAACACAACCTGTCAGCAACCACAGAAGGCAGCCTCAAGTGTTTCCATCTTTTGTTAAAAGTCAGATTTATAGTCAGACAGTGTCTCCTTCAGGAATATGCTTCCTGTAAGCCCAAACACAACCCATACACAACACTGCCTATTCTTTATCCTCCTCGGTTTCCATTGTGGGTTGTTGTTGTTGGAGCAGTGTGATGTGTGTGTAATTGTAGATGTCATTATGGATAACAGCATGGATTTAGTGGCTGCAAATGAGGTGATTGTCTGTGTCTGGTCAAAAGCAGGAAACGGTTAGCTGTCCACCTCTGTGCTGATTACGCCAAAGCTCTCTGTGTGTTTGTGTGTGTGTGTTTGTGTGTGTGTGTGTACAGGTGAGGTGCTTTGATGTGTCGTAAACATTTGTTTTTGTTTGTTCTTTGAAGTCTTGTTTTTTTCTAAATCCTTGACAGGTTTTTATTTTCATCAGCAGGCAGCACAGCTCTGATGCTGTTCTGTTCTCATTGGGATGCATGGGGGATGTGTCAGAGCTTACTGTGTAGCAGAGAGTGTGTGTGTTTGTATGTAGCTTGTCACACTCAAATCTGTGTGCTCCCAGCTATGAATAACACTCTGCAGTGCTTCTTCCTGACCCCTGGCAAGCACATATTCTGCTGCTGTTGAAGAAGAAAAAACATCCACTGAATGGCTTGCTTAATTAGACTGGACATAGACTGCCTCCTAAATTGCACAACTTTTGACCAGGGCCCATAGGGATCTATGGCCTATAGTCAGATCATTAGACCTTGGCCTTAGACCCATATAGTCTCTCTCTCTCTCTCTCTCTCTCTCTCTCTCTCTCTCTCTCTCACTCACTCACTCACTCACTCACTCACTCACTCACTCACTCACTCACTCACTCACTCACTCACTCACTCACTCACTCACTCACTCACTCACTCACTCACTCACTCACTCACTCACTCACTCACTCACTCACTCTCACACACAGTAGCCTCTTCTCTCATGCCTCCCCGTACCAATGTTATGTTTCTCCACCCTGCCTCGTTCCTGTTTACAGACAGCCCCATGTAGCCCTAGGTAACCAGGTTCCTAATTGCAGACAGCCCCATGTAGCCCTAACCCTGCCAGGTTGCTGTTTACAGACAGCCCCATGTAGCCCTAACCCTGCCAGGTTGCTGTTTACAGACAGCCCCATGTAGCCCTAGGTAACCAGGTTCCTAATTGCAGACAGCCCCATGTAGCCCTAACCCTGCCAGGTTGCTGTTTACAGACAGCCCCATGTAGCCCTAACCCTGCCAGGTTGCTGTTTACAGACAGCCCCATGTAGCCCTAACCCTGCCAGGTTCCTGTTTACAAACAGCCCCATGTAGCCCTAACCCTGCCAGGTTCCTGTTTACAGACAGCCCCATGTAGCCCTAGGTAACCAGGTTCCTAATTGCAGACAGCCCCATGTAGCCCTAACCCTGCCAGGTTGCTGTTTACAGACAGCCCCATGTAGCCCTAACCCTGCCAGGTTCCTGTTTACAGACAGCCCCATGTAGCCCTAACCCTGCCAGGTTCCTGTTTACAGACAGCCCCTTGTAGCCCTAACCCTGCCAGGTTCCTGTTTACAAACAGCCCCATGTAGCCCTAACCCTGCCAGGTTCCTGTTTACAGACAGCCCCATGTAGCCCTAACCCTGCCAGGTTGCTGTTTACAGACAGCCCCATGTAGCCCTAGGTAACCAGGTTCCTAATTGCAGACAGCCCCATGTAGCCCTAACCCTGCCAGGTTGCTGTTTACAGACAGCCCCATGTAGCCCTAACCCTGCCAGGTTGCTGTTTACAGACAGCCCCATGAAGCACTAACCCTGCCAGGTTCCTGTTTACAAACAGCCCCATGTAGCCCTAACCCTGCCAGGTTCCTGTTTACAGACAGCCCCATGTAGCCCTAGGTAACCAGGTTCCTAATTGCAGACAGCCCCATGTAGCCCTAACCCTGCCAGGTTGCTGTTTACAGACAGCCCCATGTAGCCCTAACCCTGCCAGGTTCCTGTTTACAGACAGCCCCATGTAGCCCTAGGTAACCAGGTTCCTAATTGCAGACAGCCCCATGTAGCCCTAACCCTGCCAGGTTCCTGTTTACAGACAGCCCCATGTAGCCCTAACCCTGCCAGGTTCCTGTTTACAGACAGCCCCTTGTAGCCCTAACCCTGCCAGGTTCCTGTTTACAGACAGCCCCATGTAGCCCTAACCCTGCCAGGTTGCTGTTTACAGACAGCCCCATGTAGCCCTAGGTAACCAGGTTCCTAATTGCAGACAGCCCCATGTAGCCCTAACCCTGCCAGGTTGCTGTTTACAGACAGCCCCATGTAGCCCTAACCCTGCCAGGTTGCTGTTTACAGACAGCCCCATGTAGCCCTAGGTAACCAGGTTCCTAATTGCAGACAGCCCCATGTAGCCCTAACCCTGCCAGGTTCCTGTTTACAGACAGCCCTATGTAGCCCTAACCCTGCCAGGTTCCTGTTTACAGACAGCCCCTTGTAGCCCTAACCCTGCCAGGTTCCTGTTTACAGACAGCCCCATGTAGCCCTAACCCTGCCAGGTTGCTGTTTACAGACAGCCCCATGTAGCCCTAGGTAACCAGGTTCCTAATTGCAGACAGCCCCATGTAGCCCTAACCCTGCCAGGTTGCTGTTTACAGACAGCCCCTTGTAGCCCTAACCCTGCCAGGTTCCTGTTTACAAACAGCCCCATGTAGTCATGTGTTTGTTGATCCCCCAGGAAGAAGTTTAGGGCAACATTTCTCTCCTCTATCTCTACGTAACGCAAGCACACAAACACACACACTGACCGTCAATACACTCTTATATTTATAGGTACTGTATCTTTCTCTAACAGAAATACACACGCGCACACACACACGCTCCTTCTCAATCATACGTTGTAAGAGATTCCTGCCCTGAAAGATACATTCTCTGCATGCTGCTAAAAGGCATAGGGTGTATTCCAAATTACACCCTATTCCCTTTTGACCAGTGCTCTATATAGGGAATAGGTTGCCATTTGGAACATCCCCAGAGGCACCGTTCAGATTCCTGAGGTTCTGTCTCACCCTTCTTTTCTGGGTGAGTGCCAGCGTGAGAGGGCATTTGAGTGTCATGAATACCAGCCACCCCTGATTCAGGTCCTTAATGATCTGCACACTATTTACACACACCATGCACGCACGCACACACGTGCGCGCACACGCACATACACACACACACACACACACACACACACACACACACACACACACACACACACACACACCATGCACACACATGCACAAACACACGTTATGCGCACTCACACACCATACACATGCATGCACAGACACATACACACACACAGGAACGCACACACACACCATACACATGCATGCATGCACACACACAAACACACAGGGGCAGAGACTTTGAACCCATGACTTTTATGTAAATGTCATGATTTGAATTCAGGCCAAACATTCTAACCTTTTACAGAGGTTGAGTACAGTGTGACATATGGTCACTCTATCACCATGGGCCTATACTGTCATATACTGTAGTATAACTTATACAGTATTCAGGCTTCAGGACAGAAATTGGATTTCCCTTTTCCTATAGAATGCCTATTTTTTTCTGTGGGTGAGTCAGCAAGTGCTCCTTGGTTTGGAGGCAGTGTAACTAGTGGCTATCTAGTCCTGGCCAGGCAGCGCTGTTGTGACGCATGGAAAGAGAGAGCGAGGGAGGGAAGGAGAGAGAGAGGGAGGGAAGGAGAGAGAGAGATAGAAGAGAAAGAGAAGGACAGTGAGTGAAAGAGAGGGAGAAAGGGAGAGATGGGGAGAGAGAAAGAAAAAGAGGGAAATATAGAGAGAAAGAGAGTGAGTGAGGGAGGGAAACACTAAGAGATATGCTCTGTTTTATCCTCCTCTTCAGGGACACACGTCATTTAACCGATCACCACATTCCACTCGGCTACACTGTGGCGTCACCCACTCACCCGCCGCCCCCCTTCCACTCTTCTGTCGTGCTTCTGTTCTGACTGAAGAGTGGGCTGTGGTTCTGTTCTGGGTGAAGAGTGGGCAGTGGTTCTGGTTGAAAAATGGGCTGTGGTTCTGTTCTGGTTGAAGAGTGGGATGTGGCTCTGTTCTGGTTGAAGAGTGGGCAGTGGTTCTGTTCTGGTTGAAGAGTGGGCTGTGGTTATGTTCTGGCTGAAGAGTGGGCTGTGGTTCTGCTCTCGTTGAAGAGTGGGCACTGGTTATTTTCTGGTTGAAGAGTGGGCTGTGGTTCTCTTCTGGATGAAGAGTGGGCTGTGGTTCTGTTCTGGTTGAAGCGTGGGCTGTAGTTCTTCTCTCGTTGAAGAGTGGGCTGTGGTTCTGGTTGAAAAATGGGCTTTGGTTCTGTTCTGGTTGAAGAGTGGGCTGTGGTTCTGTTCTGGTTGAAGAGTGGGCTGTGGTTATGTTCTGGCTGAAGAGTGGGCTGTGGTTCTGCTCTCGTTGAAGAGTGGGCACTGGTTATTTTCTGGTTGAAGAGTGGGCTGTGGTTCTCTTCTGGATGAAGAGTGGGCTGTGGTTCTGTTCTGGTTGAAGCGTGGGCTGTAGTTCTTCTCTCGTTGAAGAGTGGGCTGTGGTTCTGGTTGAAAAATGGGCTTTGGTTCTGTTCTGGTTGAAGAGTGGGCTGTGGTTCTGTTCTGGTTGAAGAGTGGGCAGTGGTTCTGTTCTGGTTGAAGAGTGGGCTGTGGTTCTCTTCTGGCTGAAGAGTGGGCTGTAGTCTTCTCTCGTTGAAGAGTGGGCTGTGGTTCTGGTTGAAAAATGGTCAGTGGTTCTGTTCTGGTTGAAGAGTGGGAAATGGTCAGTGGTCTGTTCTGGTTGAAGAGTGGGCTGTGGTTCTGTTCTGGCTGAAGAGTGGGCTGTAGTTCTTCTCTCGTTGAAGAGTGGGCTGTGGTTCTGGTTGAAAAATGGGCTTTGGTTCTGTTCTGGTTGAAGAGTGGGCTGTGGTTCTGTTCTGGTTGAAGAGTGGGCAGTGGTTCTGTTCTGGTTGAAGAGTGGGCTGTGGTTATGTTCTGGCTGAAGAGTGGGCTGTGGTTCTGCTCTCTTTGAAGAGTGGGCACTGGTTATTTTCTGGTTGAAGAGTGGGCTGTGGTTCTCTTCTGGATGAAGAGTGGGCTGTGGTTCTGTTCTGACTGAAGAGTGGGCAGTGGTTCTGTTCTGGTTGAAGCGTGGGCTGTAGTTCTTCTCTCGTTGAAGAGTGGGCTGTGGTTCTGGTTGAAAAATGGGCTTTGGTTCTGTTCTGGTTGAAGAGTGGGCTGTGGTTCTGTTCTGGTTGAAGAGTGGGCAGTGGTTCTGTTCTGGTTGAAGAGTGGGCTGTGGTTCTCTTCTGGCTGAAGAGTGGGCTGTAGTCTTCTCTCGTTGAAGAGTGGGCTGTGGTTCTGGTTGAAAAATGGTCAGTGGTTCTGTTCTGGTTGAAGAGTGGGCTGTGGTTCTGTTCTGGCTGAAGAGTGGGCTGTAGTTCTTCTCTCGTTGAAGAGTGGGCAGTGGTTCTGCTCTGGTTGAAGAGTGGGCTGTGAAAAGCAGGTGGATGAAGGGGAGTGAACAGTTGATGAGCTCCTTAGTTTCCTCTCTCTCTCTCTCTCTCTCTCTCTCTCTCTCTCTCTCTCTCTCTCTCTCTCTCTCTCTCTCTCGATTAAAGGGCTTTATTGGCATGGAAAATGTATGTTAACATTGCCAAAGCAAGTGAAATAGATAGTAAACAAAAGTGAAATAAACAATAAATATTAACAGTAAACATTACCATTCCAATATAATAAATACATTTCAAATGTCAAATTATGTCTATGTACAGTGTTGTAACGATGTGCAAATAGTTAAAGTACTAAAGGGAAAATAAATAAACATAAATATAGGTTGTATTGACAATGGTGTTTGTTCTTCACTGGTTGCCCTTTTCTTGTGGCAGCAGGTCACACATCTTGCTGCTGTGATGGCACACTGTGGTATTTCACCTAATAGATATGGGAGTTTATCAAAATTGGATTTGTTTTCAAATTTGTTGTGGGTCTGTGTAATCTGAGGGAAATATGTGTCTCTAATATGGTCATACATTTGGCAGGAGGTTAGGAAGTGCAGCTGAGTTTCCACCTCATTTTGTGGGCAGTGGGCACATACAGTTGAAGTCGGAAGTTTACATACAGTGAGGGGAAAAAGTATTTGATCCCCTGTTGATTTTGTACGTTTGCCCACTGACAAAGACATGATCAGTCTATCATTTTAATGGTAGGTTTATTTGAACAGTGAGAGACAGAATAACAACAACAAAAAATCCAGAAAAACGCATGTCAAAAATGTTATAAATGTATTTGCATTTTAATGAGGGAAATAAGTATTTGACTCCTCTGCAAAACATGACTTAGTACTTGGTGGCAAAACCCTTGTTGGCAATCACAGAGGTCAGACGTTTCTTGTAGTTGGCCACCAGGTTTGCACACATCTCAGGAGGGATTTTGTCCCACTCCTCTTTGCAGATCTTCTCCAAGTCATTAAGGTTTCGAGGCTGACATTTGGCAACGAACCTTCAGCTCCCTCCACAGATTTTCTATGGGATTAAGGTCTGGAGACTGGCTAGGCCGCTGATTCCTCACCGTTCTCATGATCATTGCAGCTCCACGAGGTGAGATCTTGCATGGAGCCCCAGGCCGAGGGAGATTGACAGTTCTTTTGTGTTTCTTCCATTTGCGAATAATCACACCAACTGTTGTCACCTTCTCACCAAGCTGCTTGGCGATGGTCTTGTAGCCCATTCCAGCCTTGTGTAGGTCTACAATCTTGTCCCTGACATCCTTGGAGAGCTCTTTGGTCTTGGCCATGGTGGAGAGTTTGGAATCTGATTGATTGATTGCTTCTGTGGACAGGTGTCTTTTATACAGGTAACAAGCTGAGATTAGGAGCACTCCCTTTAAGAGGGAGTGAAGCACGGGGGTGGCAGCATCATGCTGTGGGGGTGCTTTGCTGCAGGAGGGACTGGTGCACTTCACAAATTCTCTGAAACGACATTGGAGGCGGCTTATGGTAGAGAAATGAAAATTCAATTATCTGGCAACAGCTCTGGTGGACATTCCTGCAGTCAGCATGCCAATTGCACGCTCCCTCAAAACTTGAGACATCTGTGGCATTGTGTTGTGTGACAGAATTGCACATTTTAGAGAGGCCTTTTATTGTCCCCAGCACAAAGTGCACCTGTGTAATGATCATACTGTTTAATCAGCTTCTTGATATTCCACACCTGTCAGGTGGATGGATTATCTTGGCAAAGGAGAAATGCTCACTAACAGGGATGTAAACAAATTTGTGCTCAAAATTTGAGAGAAATAAGCTTTTTGTGCGTATGGAAAATTTCTGGGATCTTTTATTTCAGCTCATGAAACATGAGACCAACACTTTACATTTATACTTTTGTTCAGTATAGATACCTGACTACAGGGTTGCAAATGGCACCCTTGCAAATGGCACCCTTCTCCCTTTATAGTGGGCCATGGTCAAAAGTAGTGTGCTATAAAGGAAATAGGATGCCATAGGGACAAACACCAGGTGTTAGTGGGCCTAGAGAATGCACTGACCTGCACAGTCCCACAGGGGACCACCTGCTTGTTGTGTACCAATTTGAATTTCCCTGACTGCTCACTCACCAACTGTGCTCTGGTATGGTCTGGATGGGAATGCCGTAGTTACCTGAATGGAAACAATCATTGAATAATTGATAGTAATTGGTTCAAACCTATACATAATAGATGACTCTGATCTTAGTTGCCTGTGTATGTGTGTGTGTGTGCGCGTGCGTGCGTCGGTTAGGGATGTAACAAATATAAAACAATTCTTAACAAAAAAAGTTAAAAATCTTATTTTGGTGTATGTTACCCCCTTTTTCTCCCGATTTCAATTATGATCTTGTCTCATCGCTGCAACTCCCCAACGGGCTCAGGAGAGGCGAAGGTCCAGTCACGCGTTCTCCGAAACATGGCCTGCCAAACCGCACTCCTTAACACCCGCTCACTTAACACGGAAGCCAACTGCACTGATGTGCCGGAGGAAACACTGTTCAATTGACAACCGAAGTCAGCATGCAAGCACCCGGCCCGCCACAAGGAGTCACTAGAGCGCGATGAGCCAAGTAAACCCCCAATTGTGCGCCATCCTATGGGACTCCCGGTCACGGCCGGTTGTGACACAACCCTTGGATCGAACCCAGGTCTGTAGTGACGCCTCAAGCACTGCGATGCAGTGCCTTATACCGTTGCGCCACTCGGGAGGCAATTCTTAACATTTAGACTGCAATTTTTTGTATCGTTTAAACAATGTATCGTTTTAATTACATGTGAATTCACAATGCAGATATGGTCCTGCGTATGACCGCTAGGGGGCTGCAGTCATCACCTTACTGCTGTCCCCCACCCACTCAGCAACAATGGTAATTAATGGGTCTCCGTTTTTAGGTCTGCTGTGTGCCTCTCCTCCATGCTCTAAGTCTTTAGCAGTGGAGGCTCCTCAGAGGAGGAAGGGGAGGACCATCCTCCTCAGTGAATTTCATAAAAATAAAAATTGTAAAACATTGAAAAAGTTATCCTTTTTAGATAAAACTATACTAAATATACTCACACGTCACCAAATAATTGATTAAAACACACTGTTTTGTAATGAAGGTCTACAGTAGCCTCAACGTCTGCTAAATGGCATATTATTATATTATTATTATAACAGCACTCTGTAGGGTAGCACCATGGTGTAGCCGGAGGACAGCTAGCTTCAAACCTCCTCTTGGTACATTGACTTCAATACAAAACTTAGGAGGCTCATGGTTCTCACCCCCTTCCATAGACGTACACAGTAATAATGACAACCTCCGGAGGACGTCCTCCAACCTATCAGAGCTCTTGCAGCATGAACTGACATGTTGTCCACCTAATCAAAGGATCAAAGAATTAATCTAGTACTGAAAGCATAAGCTACAGCTAGCTAGCACTGCAGTGCATAAAATGTGGTGAGTAGTTGACTCAAAGAGAGAGAAAGACAATAGTTGAACAGTTTTCAACAAATTAATTTATTCAAAAATGAAGGAGAAGCAAGAGAGAGAGAGCGATAGAGAGAGATTGTCTTTTTTTTTCTTCACTTACTTAGCTAGCAAATGCAGCTGGCTAGTTTAGTTACTCAAACACCCGGCTAAAACATAGTGATGCTATGTTAGCTAGCTGGCTATGACTATCCAACACAACACTGGAACTCTTTCAAGTCAAAGTAAGCTTTTGGTTTTATTAATTTATTGCCACCGGGGCCCGACGGTGTAACTGCTTACTGACTATACACTGTAACGTTACTGCATGATTGTAGCGGGTTTACTAAATCATTAGTTATATTAGCTATGTTGACTAGGACATTACTTTAGCTAATATGGGGACAACGATGTAGGCTGTGTGTAGCGGTTATGACATGGTTTGGCTTGGAAAGGTTTTTTCGCCTGGTCACATACAGCTGATGTGTTGTTCATTGAAGTCCACAAACGAAGGGAAAAGGTGAGAGGAGGAGAGTGCATAGAGGCGAGAAGGAATACAACGTGGCTTCTATGAAAGTGAACTGTGTTTATGCATAATCAGGGGTGTATTCATTCCGCCGATTCTGTTGAAAAACGTTTCTTAATCAAGCAAACGAAACAGGGATAAAAATACCTGAATTTGTCCAATAGAAACTCTCATTTGCAACTGTTGGACTAATGATTACACCCTAGATAAGCTAGATGCAGGCAAGATTGTGCAAGGCGGTATTGAATGTGTCACTGTCTGTCCATGTGTCACTGTCTGTCATCTCAAATTTTTCTCTCGACTTGTGTGCACCTACGTTGTAAACTTTCATTCATAGGCTAGGTTGTAGCATGATGAGAATATGGAAAATGTGAGTATCATGTAGTAGCCTAAACCTATCGATGTTACATTGAACTGGGTGAATGGAATATGAATGACAGTCATCCAACATGCTGTAATAGAAACAAGGCCATGCTCATGAAAAAACAAATCGTCCTCCCTCATTATAAACGGCACTGAACGCCACTGGTTTTCAGTACAGGGGACTTCATGTCCCACTTCTCATCAATGTGATGACTCATTGCAGTGATGTATGACAGCGTGTTCATAGACGTCCAACAAGTTGTTGTTAACGCCATGCATGGGGTGTTTGAGAGCTCGCGCTTTGTACTTGCAGAGCAATCTTTGTAAAATTTTCCATCCGGGCTGTCACATCTTTTTCCGACATGGCATCTTGTAGTCTGGTTCTACATATGCCATCAGTGCACTAAAGCCGACATCCTCTACCATTGACAATGGCTGCATATCATCTGCAATCATTTCCGTAATCAGAGCAGTGATTTTCTCAGTCCGTTCCTTCTCGCACTTCTTTTGTGTGAACCTGTAATGTCTGTTGTTAGTGGCCTGCACTGTTTTTGGGGTCTCATGGTGCCCCCCTTTTTAGATGGTTAAGCATTGCACCTGTACTGCCACTGTAGCTCAGTTCCACCTTGCATTTCACCACCTTCTCGTTTAACTTGTCAAAGTATTGTCATACAGGACTTCGCTGCTGTTGCTTCCCTGTCTCACTGACATTTTTTCAACCGTTAACGACGATGACATGCTGAGCGCTTTATGTCTGTAGCATAAAGTAGCGTTACAGCATTGTTGCGTTAGGTACAGTGCCTTGCAAAAGTATTCATCCCCTTGGCGTTTTTCCTATTTTGTTGCAGTACAACCTGTAATTTAAATGGATATTTATTTGGATTTCATGTAATGGACATACACAAAATAGTCAAAATTGGTGAAGTGAAATGAAAAATATAACTTGTTTCCAAAAATTCTAAACAATAAATAACGGAAAAGTGGTGCATGCATATGTATTCACCCCCTTTGCTATGAAGCCCCTAAATAAGACCTGGTGCAACCAATTACCTTCAGAAGTCACATAATTAGTTAAATAAAGTCCACCTGTGTGCAATCTAAGTGTCACATGATCTGTCACATGATCTCAGTATATATACACCAGTCTGCAACATCACTAAGCAAGGGGCACCACCACCAAGCAAGCGGCACCATGAAGACCAAGGAGCTCTCCAAACAGGTCAGGGACAAAGTTGTGGAGAAGTACAGATCAGGGTTGGGTTATAAATAAATATCTGAAACTTTGAACATCCCACGGAGCACCATTAAATCCATTATTAAAATTTGAAAGAATATGGCACCACAACAAACCTGCCAAGAGAGGGCCGCCCACCAAAACTCACGGCCCAGGCAAGGAGGGCATTAATCAGAGAGGCAACAAAGAGACCAAAGATAACCCTGAAGGAGCTGCAAAGCTCCACAGCAGAGATTGGAGTATCTGTCCATAGGACCACTTTAAGCCTTACACTCCACAGAGCTGGGCTTTATGGAAGTGTGACCAGAAAAAAGCCATTGCTTCAAGAAAAAAATAAGCAAACACGTTTGGTGTTCACCAAAAGGCATGTGGGAGACTCTGGTCAGAAGGTACTCTGGTCAGATGAGACTAAAATTGAGCTTTTTGGCCATCAAGGAAAACGCTATGTCTGACACAAACCCAACACCTCTCATCACCCCGAGAACACCATCCCCACAGTGAAGCATGGTGGTGGCAGCATCATGCTGTGGGGATGTTTTTCATCGGCAGGGACTGGGAAACTGGTCAGAAATGAAGGAATGATGGATGGCGCTAAATGCAGGGAAATTGTTGAGGGAAACCTCTTTCAGTCTTCCAGAGATTTGAGACTGGGACGGAGGTTCACCTTCCAGCAGGACAATGACCCTAAGCATACTGCTAAAGCAACACTCGAGTGGTTTAAGGGGAAACATTTAAATGTCTTGGAATGGCCTAGTCAAAGCCCAGACCTCAATCCAATTGAGAATCTGTGGTATGACTTAAAGATTGCTGTACACCAGCGGAACCCATCCAACTTGAATGAGCTGGAGCAGTTATGGCTTGATGAATGGGCAAAAATCCCAGTGGTTAGATGTGCCAAGCTTATAGAGACATACCCCAAGAGACTTGCTGCTGTAATTGCTGCAAAAGGAGGTTCTACAAAGTATTGACTTTGGTGGGGTGAGTAGTTATGCACACTCAAGTTTTCTGTTTTTTTGTCTTATTTATTGTTTGTTTCACACAAAAAAATATTTTGCATCTTCAAAGTGGTAGGCATGTTGTGTAAATCAATTTTAATTCCAGGTTGTAAGGCAACAAAATAGGAAAAATGCCAAGGAGGGTGAATACTTTCACAAGCCACTGTATTTTTATAATTTGTATTTTTCTCTTTATGTTGATGATCGAGACCTGTTAGTGGTAGTTTTGTGATAACTGCATTGAGACTTTTATTTTGTGAGGAAAAAATAATAATAATTCTAAACGTTAACGATTCCAGTTTCGTTTAAACATCCACAGCCCAAGTGTCGGTGTGTGCGACTGTGCGTGTGTGTGTGTGTGTGTGTGTGTAGATGCTGAGCTACAGGAGACACCTCTTCTCTCATGCTGTCTCACTGCCGACTCTCTCCACTTGTTACTCCATAGGAAATCAGCAATCAGTTCTCTGTCTCTCTTCTGTGTACTCACTTGGGGAAAGTGGTGGAAACACGACCTGTGTTTACGTGCTGTACCCTGGATTCTTCAAATAGAAGCCCTTTGCTTTGATGACAGCTTTGCACACTCTTGGCATTCTCTCAACCAGCTTCATGAGGTAGTCACCTGGAATGCATTTCAATTAACAGGTGTGCCTTCTTAAAAATTATTTTGTGGATGAGCCCATCAGTTGTGTTGTGACAAGGTAGGGGGGGTATACAGAAGATAGCCCTATTTGGTAAAAGACCAAGTCCATATTATGGCAAGAACAGCTCAAATAAGCAAAGAGAAACGACAGCCCATCATTACTTTAAGACATGAAGGTCAGTCAATATGGAAAATGTCCAGAACTTTGAAAGTTTCTTCAAGTGCAGTTGCAAAAACCATCAAGCTCTATGATGAAACTGGCTCTCATGAGGACCGACAGAAGAATGGAAGACCCAGAGTTACCTCTGCTGCAGAGGATAAGTTCATTAGAGTAACCAGCCTCAGAAATTGCAGCCCAAATAAATGCTTCACAGAGTTCAAGTAACAGACACATCTCAACATCAACTGTTCAGAGGAGACTGTGTGAATCAGGCCTTCATGGTCGAATTGCTGCAAAGAAACCACTCTAGTTGCAAGCACACACGCACACATTCGTACCATGGACAGCTACATCATATTTAGCTTATGTTGATTGGACTAAATTGTTTTTGGTATCTTTAAGTTTTCACTGTATTAGACTAAGCATAGGTGATTTGATGATGTTGAAATGGTGCTGAAATAGTGGCAGCAGCTACTGTTTTCTTTGCGACTTGCGGTAACTCTCTGGTGTTGTAAATAAAATAAAATAAAACATTGATTTAACTAGGCAAGTCAGTTAAGAACAAATTCTTATTTACAATGACGGTCTACACCGGCCAGACCCGGACGACGCTGGGCCAATTGTGCGCTGCCCTATGGGACTCCCAATCACGGCCGGTTGTGATACAGCCTGGAATCGAACCAGGGGGTCTGCAGTGACGCCTCAAGCACTGAGATGCAGTGCCTTAGACGCTGCACCACTCGGGAGCACAACAGTTGTTTAGTAGCCTGAAAACGTTGTTATGTGCAATATGCTTTGTGGACTTCACCGGACAGATGTTGCTCTCCGGTTTTGTGACGAAACAAAGGTGTGGCTGAATATATCACATGGCAAGGCATATGAACTAACAGGTTATAGAGCAAACAACGCAATTATCACAACACATAGGTTGTAATATGGCTATTTGTCCTGGCTTGGCTTCCCCAGTGATTTTACCCACCGCTACTGTATAGACAGATTTGTTTTGGGGAAACATGCTGTTCCACAGTGAAATTGGTTGGTATGCTGAGTCAGTTGAGCACAGCAGCACACTGTGCAATGGAAAATTAGAATTTGGAATTGCTGGAATTTAAACCAGCAATCTTCAGATGACTTAACCATTTCCTCACCAGCTATGATAGCATTGCTTGTATACCGCAAAATATGATTCCTTTACACGGTTCCTATTCATCTTATTCTGGAACGTCACAGTGATCGTGGCGAGTTAGTTGCAATTGTGTTTCTATTTCCGGCAACATTCGCGCGACATGGTCTTCCAGCTGATGGTGAGGCTTAAGTCGCACTGCATTACTTCTGCCTCATGAACCAATTAATGCTGTTACTCCTATGACCAGAGAAAGTTAAATATTCCTCGATATTTAAAAGGACTCTAGCTGCAAATAATAACAACGCAAGCTTTTCGAAACGTGCATTTTATGGCTTATAAAATTGCTGAACAAAGTGTTGACAGTGCTGAATAACAACTTACATTTAATGTACTCATAATGTAATGTAAATGTCATAAAAACAGCAGCTCTTCGCTGTATTCGTTGAGTCTCTCTCTACTCATGGTTTTAAACATTTTGAAATCCCACATTATCAACTTTGCTGTGAGTTCGAGGCTTCTTTTTACAGTCTATGGAGCGAGGAAACTGTGCAGACACTGTGATCTGAGCTATCTGATTGGCCAGCGGTAGGCCTATAGGTGCACTTGATTTGCTCTCTGGACCTGCTGGGTAGGCGGTGTTCTACCTTCAGACACATGAAATGGTTCAAAATGGGAACACTTTGCCTTCCTGGCGCTAGGTTTGCTGAATCAAGTGCACCTACCGTCAACAGCGCGAAACAAAACAAAATAATAGGAACGCAAGGCTTTGCGGTTTGGTTTTTCACAGAAATGCTTGGTGATCGACCAGGAATGGCTTGGAGATCGACCAGTCGATCACGATTGACCGGTTGGAGACCACTGCTGTACACCTATATTACAAACACACAAGGCACACCTCACTGATTAGTCTCTGTCTCTGTATCCTCCTAGGTCACCACCCTGATCAATCACAAAGACAAGCCAAAGAAGTCGGAGCGGACGCAGCAGGCCATCCAGAGGGTGGGCCAGGCGGTCAGTGTTGCTGTGGGTCGCTTCGTTGCGGTGGGCGAGGCCATCGCCGTGGAGAATGAGGAGCTGAAGGAGGAGATGGGAATGGCCTGCTTCGAGGCCCGCAGAGCAGGTAACTGGGGCTGCGTATAAAATTACATCCTAAATGGCATCCTAGTGCACTATAAAGGGAATAAGGTGCCATTTTGGATGCAGTCCAACTAAGGGAGTGTTTTTGCTGTTGTTTTCATCATAAATAAATTAAACATATTTTCTCTGTCTAGACAGAAACACATTTGCACTGGAGGCATTCAGAAGTCAAAGACTTTGTTGTTTTTGTTAGTTTTGAGTGAAGTTTAGTTTAAGTTTGCAAGACTAGAGGCTAGAGGGAAGTGAAGTTGGTTATGTTCTTTCCTGAGGGATGAAATGCAGAGACAAAGAACAGAACAGTGTGAGTCAGGTTTGGAAAAGGAGGGAGCTGTGTCATTTGAGGCTGAAGTGTTTGTGTACCAGGCAGGCAGGCAGGCAGGGCTGCAGGCGTAATGAAGGGTATTCTGAGGTTTGCCTGCTCTGTCTTCTGGACAGAGTTCACTCATCTTCAGTATCTTCTCTCGCTCAGAGGGATAGAGAAAGAGAGTCTCGCCTGTTCTCAGCTGTCGGCAGTTGCATCCTTTGCTTAGAGAGAAACAGGGAGTTGTGACCTTGTGCCCCCCTCTTTCAACACTTTTCCATGATGAGCCCATGCAACTAAATATACCTACCAATGCCAACCTTTTATCTCTCCATCATAACTGTCCAGTCATTCTCAGAATAACTACCACAAGCTGTGGGAGGAGGATATCTACACTGCAGCTATCAACACTCTTTCAAACGAACAGAGTAATATATTTTTGATCCGGCTTTGCAACTCTTATCAAGTGAAAAATAGCAGGATGAATAGGGGGTCGAAGCCTGAGGCCTGAAGCCCAATCACAGTCTTATCCTGTTGATATGTTAAGTCCAAAACAAAATCTCACAGGGTAAGAATTTAGACCCCAACACAGGGGATAATAGGTTTATTTTGGAGCAAACCGGCATGTGTAACAGTGCGTTTAATCCCCCAGTGTGCTGATTTGAAAAGGGCTGAACCCAAACAAAAGAGAGCTGGTGGGAAGCGTCAGCCAGACCCCACTATGGCCACTTTATTCCTTCCACTCCTCCTTTCTTCCGTTACTTTCACCGTTAAAAAGAGAGAAAGTGAACTTTTCCCTCCGTCGTTCTGGGACGGAATGAAGTTGTCTTCTCTGTGATGAAAAGAAAGAAAGGGAAAAAAAGGTAAAGCTTTAAATCTACGGGAAGAGGAGAAGGATTGACGGCCTCTTAAAGTGTAGCCAGAGGGAGGGCGAGACTAAGCGGACCTCCTCCAGCGCAGGGAGGGAGGGAGGGAGGCAGGCAAAGACTCAGGGAGGCAGGCAGGGAGGGAGGGAAAGATGCAGGCAGGGAGGGAGGCAGGGAGGAACAGAGGCAGGCAGGCAGGCAGGCACCGTAATGAAATAAATAAAAAAGGTGATTACATTACTTTAATTTGGTGATCTCCATCATGGGGTGACGTCATATAGAGGGTGCAATTAGGCAGAGTTGTTTGGTTTCAATCTGTTCTGCTTGACCAGCCCAAACAAATGTATGTCGCTAGCTAAGGTTTTAGGAGACAAATACTGAGTTTTGGATAGTGAGTGTGTAAAAGGGCACCTAGGTCCTGTATCTCTCAAACTGGGTATGTCAGTGCAACCTGCAGGTAGTTACAAGACTCCACAGGTTTTAATCAGGTCAAGTGTTCGCCCCTTTCAAATACCAAGAAGCAGAAAACAAACAATTCCCATAAAAAGAGAGCTTAGCAATAAAGAGACTTGCTCAATAAATTGCTGTTCTCTGCACAACTAAAACACATCTAACACTAGAAAACAAGATCATGATAAAACACACCCTGTGAAAAAAACACACCCTGTGAACAGTCTGGCCTAGAACAAGTTCACGAATGAGCAACACTGTTACAAAACTGTTGTGAAGCATGGAGGGGGAAATTTGGCATAGCTTAATCATACTCCATGCAACTTCTGGACCCTATTCTGATGTTCAGCAGCATTCTTTGTGAGCTAGGCTGGTTTGGGGGATTCTGGCATCGACAAGGGGCTGTCGGATGCAATCAGTGCGTCAGTGCACTTTCTTTTGGATTGCAAGCCAACCCAAACAAGGAGCCAAACCATGCAGCCAACGTGAAACAAGTCTCTCTCTCTCTCTCTCTCTCTCTCTCTCTCTCTCGCTCTTCTCTCTCTCTCTCTCTCTCTCTCTCTCTCTCTCTCTCCCACTCTCTCTCTCTCTCTCTCGCTCTCGCTCTCGCTCTCGCTCTGTCTCTCTCTCTCTCCTGCCCGAGACTATTTTGGTTATGGTTCTTCAGGCCAGTATTTGTGTGTTGGTTTTCCTTTTCCGTTGTCCACCCAGGGTTGTTTTGGAGTTTCGTGAACGAACTAGCGACACTCCAGTGTACCAGCCTCTCAGTTTGAAATGGCCTGGTCATGCCTCTCAGAGGACGTGCCAACTGGGCCCTGGCATTGGCTGGCATTACATTGCTGCAGTGCCACCGAGCTGAATATAATCCCCCAGTGCCTGCCTGCCTATCCAGGACAAGATGTTCCTACTTGGGTTTATGGTGCTACTGTTGACTGACAGGAGAGCAGAGGAGAAGAGAAGAGGCCCCGTGTAGCTCAGTTGGTAGAGCATGGCGCTTGCAACGCCAGGGTTGTGGGTTCGATTCCCATGGGGGGCCAGTATGAAAATGTATGCACTCACTAACTGTAAGTCGCTCTGGATAAGAGCATCTACTAAATGACTAAAATGTAAATGTAAGAGAGGAGAGGAGAGGAGCCTCTCAACTGTCACAAAGGGCACCCACTTGGGTTTATGGTGCTACTGTTGACTGACAGGAGAGCAGAGGAGAAGAGAAGGGGAGGGGAGGAGCCTCTCAACTGTCACGTAGGGCACCATGGGAAGGGAACCTAAAGGGTTTTAGCTCTCAAACAAACTGGAGCTGAATTCTGGATGTCACTTTTTAGTTTATGCAACTTTTGAACAAGTTTTTGGATAATGGGGTTTGCATGAAACCACTGAGAAGCAATATGACCAAGTATTAGAACATTTAGATAAAGTGATAATGAACTAGACATGATATAGAAAAATTCCTATAGAGTTGATCATCATCATCATCACCCTCCCCCTTCTCCTCCTCTTCTTCCTCCTGATCATCATCATCAAAACCACTAGAGCCCGACTGATATATCAGTTCACCGATATTATCGGCCGATATTGGCCTTTTACCGCTATATCGGTATCGGCCGATAATTCTACCGATAACCAATATTCAATAAATAGGATGAAAAAAGGGAATCTCATGCTTATCTGAACACTTGCAGCCAATCTCATGATATTTCATTAATTTCACAATGTAAGAAATCAACATTTGAAGCATATTTCTAAGGACAATTCCTCTTCTGAATGGCAATTTATGAGAATTCAGTGCGGGAAAATAAAACGTTTTAATAAAACAGTATATCAGCAGATATATCGGTATCAGTAAGTTTTGTGCCCCAAAAATCGGAATCAATATCAGACCCCAAAAAAACATATCGGTCGGGCTCTAAAAACCATTATCATCCTCTGTCCTTTTTGTCCTCTAGGGGATGCCATAGCCCAGCTGACAGAAGTTGGGACTGCAGTGGCGCCACCTGTGGACGGACGCACAACTGTGTTCAGTGACCGGACAGGAATGGTGAAGGCCGCCCGCATGCTCCTCTCCTCCGTCACCAAAGTCCTGGTCCTCGCAGACCGCATCGTCATCAAACAGATCATCACCTCACGCAACAAAGTAGGTACCCATCTTCATCAAACAGATAATCAAATAGGTACCGCTTCCGACCACACAGTATAGATATAGGGCCATAGATGCACACAGACTCACAGAACAAAGTAGGGACACACGGAGTCACACACACACACACACACACACACACACACACACACACACACACACACACACACACACACACACACACACACAGCACACAGTACCCAGCACTGGCAACTCCATCCTCCTTCCAGTCTTTCAGATCTTATCTGAGCTCCATGAGACAGTACAGGAGAAGTCAGTCCTCTGCTGCTGTGGAGAGAATGGAGCGGGAGCAGCAGCACATTCACATAAAAGGTCCAGGGCCTGTTTCTATTCCTGCTGCTTTCAGGAACGGGATGTGCTGTGTGTGTGTGTATGGCTGTTAGAGGCGAGGGGGCACGCACACACACACACACACACACACACACAGAGGGTAAGGGCCTAATCACGTCTAGTAAGGCCTGTTTGGACAGACGGGCGACAGGGCTGCTCCCATTACTGGCAAGCACAATTCAATTTTGAACCCTGTCTCTGTCTGATAACAGCATAGAGCTCCTGCCTGGCTTGCAGGATGTCACTACTGTTTACCCTCCTAGAGCCAAGCCACTCTCTCGCACACACATGAACACACACACACACTCTGCTCCGGATAGATGGATCACATTGTTTTATAATAGATTCATATTTCATGATGTTTTGGAGGGGTCTGATAGGTGCTGAAGGTTTGATGCATTATGCATCGGCTGACTTTGTTGAGTGATGCATGTGTCAGACCAAGTTGTATCTAAATGCAATACAGTTTACTGGTAGCATATTATCTAGGTACGTATGTTATATGTTAAGTAGCTGAAGCAGTAGTAAGCTAATGATTTCTACATCATCATGGCAATAGTCATTCCTGTAACTATTGTATACAGTGGGGAAAAAAAGTATTTAGTCAGCCACCAATTGTGCAAGTTCTCCCACTTAAAAAGATGAGAGAGGCCTGTAATTTTCATCATAGGTACACGTCAACTATGACAGACAAATTGAGAATTTTTTCCCCAGAAAATCACATTGTAGGATTTTTTATGAATTTATTTGCAAATTATGGTGGAAAATAAGTATTTGGTCACCTACAAACAAGCAAGATTTCTGGCTCTCACAGACCTGTAACTTCTTTAAGAGGCTCCTCTGTCCTCCACTCGTTACCTGTATTAATGGCACATGTTTGAACTTGTTATCAGTATAAAAGACACCTGTCCACAACCTCAAACAGTCACACTCCAAACTCCACTATGGCCAAGACCAAAGAGCTGTCAAAGGACACCAGAAACAAAATTGTAGACCTGCACCAGGCTGGGAAGACTGAATCTGCAATAGGTAAGCAGCTTGGTTTGAAGAAATCAACTGTGGGAGCAATTATTAGGAAATGGAAGACATACAAGACCACTGATAATCTCCCTCGATCTGGGGCTCCACGCAAGATCTCACTCCGTGGGGTCAAAATGATCACAAGAACGGTGAGCAAAAATCCCAGAACCACACGGGGGGACCTAGTGAATGACCTGCAGAGAGCTGGGACCAAAGTAACAAAGCCTACCATCAGTAACACACTACGCCGCCAGGGACTCAAATCCTGCAGTGAAAAACGTGTCCCCCTGCTTATGCCAGTACATGTCCAGGCCCGTCTGAAGTTTGCTAGAGTGCATTTGGATGATCCAGAAGAGGATTGGGAGAATGTCATATGGTCAGATGAAACCAAAATATAACTTTTTGGTAAAAACTCAACTCGTCGTGTTTGGAGGACAAAGAATGCTGAGTTGCATCCAAAGGACACCATACCTACTGTGAAGCATGGGGGTGGAAACATCATGCTTTGGGGCTGTTTTTCTGCAAAGGGACCAGGACGACTGATCCGTGTAAAGGAAAGAATGAATGGGGCCATGTATCGTGAGATTTTGAGTGAAAACCTCCTTCCATCAGCAAGGGCATTGAAGATGAAATGTGGCTGGGTCTTTCAGCATGACAATGATCCCAAACACACCGCCCGGGCAACGAAGGAGTGGCTTCGTAAGAAGCATTTCAAGGTCCTGGAGTGGCCTAGCCAGTCTTCAGATCTCAACCCCATAGAAAATCTTTGGAGGGAGTTGAAAGTCCGTGTTGCTCAGCGACAGCCCCAAAACATCACTGCTCTAGAGGAGATCTGCATGGAGGAATGGGCCAAAATACCAGCAACAGTGTGTGAAAACCTTGTGAAGACTTACAGAAAACGTTTGAACTGTGTCATTGCCAACAAAGGGTATATAACAAAGTATTGAGAAACTTTTGTTATTGACCAAATACTTATTTTCCACCATAATTTGCAAATAAATTCAAATGTGATTTTCTGGATTTTTTTTCTTCTCATTTTGTCTGTCATAGTTGACGTGTACCTATGATGAAAATTACAGGCCTCTCTCATCTTTTTAAGTGGGAGAACTTGCACAATTGGTGGCTGACTAAATACTTTTTCCCCCCACTGTACATGAATACACCTTCATACATCATGGGCTCTATTCTGTTCTGTCTGTATTGCAGACAGATCCCAGACTACGCTTTTAACACACCTTCATGCAACACAGAGTTCTGTTCCGTCCGTCTTGCAGAGAGATCCCAGGTCACCCCTTACCCCACCATGCGTGTTCCATTGTGTACAGTAGAGGTGATTGGGGTAAATCATTGTGATCTGATTGGTTTCTCAGATGCCCCACTCAGCCCCAAGGCCAGAGTGATAACTCCTGAGACATGGTGACATCACCATTAATCCTCCTTCCTATTTCCCCATTCACCAGACGATTGGGAGACAATACCACTTCTTGTCACTATGACCTTTTCCTGTTTCAACAGACAGGTCCTCCGTGTCGTCTCAGTCAGTCAGTCATGACAAACTGCTCTACTGAACACTGTGGCTGGAAAGCGTGGAAAGTGAAATGAATGGCCATCACTTGTATGGCGAGGCCCACATTAAGAATTTGCTTTACTACCTTATTCTGTATCTGTAACTCCATTCAGACACATATCTTAAAGCAGGATTTTGCCAGCAGCAAAGGCAGTCTGAGGTGTCAAAGCAGTAACATCTCTCACAGCAACTTTTCTCCCTCAAGACATGGTTCTGGCAGAAAAAATGAGCCATCTTTGAGTTCAGTGTGTGGTATTTTGTGTTTAATTCAAGAGTTGTTGTGTGTAATGTGTGGGAGCCAGCGGGTGTTACTGTAATAGTGTTCCTGAACTTCCCAGGTGCTAGTAACCTTGGAGCAGCTGGAGAGAGTGAGCACCTTCCAGGAGTTTGTCCAGATCTTCAGCCAGTTTGGGAACCAGATGGTGGAGTTCGCCCACCTGACCGGGGACAGACAGAATGTGAGTACCATCCCTCTCTGAAAGTGTATTCTCCAAAGTCATCCTTCTTTCCCCCCCATCCTACCAAACGCTGTCATCCTACCAAACACTATGTGCCTCCACTCCCCATCAGCTCTCATTGTTGATAAACACAATCTTTCTAGAGAGAGAGAGGGTTGGAGTGGGAGAGTGAGACCCTCCAGATTGTGTACAGTGCCGTGAGCCATGTTGGCTCCACATCCACTTAGACAGCGAGATGACACAGATAGCAGGGTGTGTTTGACGAGCCACTGCTTCCCTGACACACACACACAAAGAGAGACACACAGAGAGACACACTCCAGGGCCTCTGCACCACCAAGGAGAGTGTGGGTGTGTTTAGACAAACAGCAGGAAAAAATTAAGGCTCAGATCTGACTTGCATATCAAAGGAGCGTTTACATCATGAAAGCAGAATGTTGATATGCCTTGATATGGTTTGAACCTTCAAATCAAACAAACTCTCTATTTGAAAAATATCAAGTGCAACATGTCATATTTATAAAACAAAACTTTACAGAAATAATGAGGCCAGAAAAACTCTGGTGTTCCCCTCCCCTGTAGTGTCAGCATCTGCTAATCCTGCTTTGATTCATACACAGTCTCTTTGTGTGCATCCCTAATGGCACCCTATTCCCTATTCCCAAAGCCCCATGGCTAGTGCACTAGACAGGGAATAGGTTGCCATTTGGGATACAGACTATGGTTTAACAGACTGCGCTAGATAGCTGATGAAAAGTGTTATCGCTGTGCCATAGGGAGAGAGCGGATAATATTCAGCTTTCCTTCCCCTCTTTTTGTTTAAAGGGGTGTTTCACAAACATGCCACGTCCCCATCTCGCTCTCCGTTTGGATATCTCCTGGCTCATCTATTGAGAGACTAACCTATCAAAGAGCAGGGGAATATAATAACACATCATCACATCTCCTTTGTAATCCATGGCTCTGCGCCTGGAGAGAAGTCGATTCAGCCTCTCCCGAAAAACACGCACACACACACACACACACACACACACACACACACTAAATCCCTACTGGAGGCTGAGTCTTTGAAACACAGAGAGAGGAGAGAGAGTCCGTGGATATTACTGAGACATCTAGTCTCCTGCCGACTACGTAATGTTATCTACTGCATTGAGTCGTGCTTCACCGGGTTGATCTATGAGTAAGAACTCTGATGACCTGAGAACTAGGCCTTAACTAAACTTAGCCTAATAACTGACATATCTTTCCCATCATAGGCATGTGGTCCATATGTATTCAGGATGCTCTTTAGGAAGTGTCTGACCCTTGTACTGGCATGATTTGGGCTGTGTCTCAAATAGCACCCTATTCCCTATTTAGTGCACTATTTTTTGACCAGGGCCCATAAGGTTCTGGTCAAAAGTAGTGCACTACATAGTGAATAGGGTGCGATTTGGGATGTGACCTTGGTCCACTAGTCCAGACCACTGGTAGGGTCAGATCCCACTGAGTCAGAGCGGGTTTGAGACTTGCGTCAGAGCCCACTGGTGCTGGTAGGTCACTGTCAGTTCTTAGCAAGACTGTGTTGTATTGTAGCTTGAGAAATGGTTCTGTCTATTCGGTGGCTCACAAGATCAAAAGGCTTTAACTGGGTCACACTCACAATTCAGAGAAGTTTGGGATCCAGCTACTTCTCTAACTGTCCAGTATTGGTCTCTGTCCTTTAGGACCTGATGAGAAGCTTCTTCTCTTAAGCCTTGTTCACACTGTAGGCCTTAATGTTCAAAATCAGTTTTGTTTTTCAAATCAGTTTTGGATTACTGACTGTCCAAACAGCAAGTTACGTGACCAAATCGGATTTGTGTGTGTTCAGACAGCAGTCATTTGCTGACATTGCTACACTAGTTGACTTAGTAACAATGGGTGTGTACGCAGTGGTATAGGCTGATTGGTGGTGGTTCACGTGCTTCCTATCACTCAGAAGTTATGTAGCAAGCTAAGGTGACAACAATGCCTGCCATGGACGTTTCCCAGTTGCTTTGAACGTTCAAAATCGGAGTGTTTTGAACACATTTAAAGCCTCAAAGGATAAGATGATCCAACTTTCAAAATGAATGCTTTTTGGCTAGCCACAGCAGTCAACTAACTAGCTAGGTAGCTGTTTAACTTTCTATCACGTTCACTAATTTGTTTGTAAACAATTAACAAGCTAGTTAGCTGCCATATGTTCTTGTCAAACTGTCAACAGAGTAGCTAGCAAGCAACAAGATATTCCAAATAACCACTTGAGGGCAAATAAATCAGATTTGACCTTTCAGACACAAGTCACATGGGCATGGTTTGAAATGTGGCTTGAAATATTAGATTCCATGTGCTTTTCGTCTGTACAGACTGCAGGAAAAACAACAGATTCTAATCGGATATGCAAATAAATAGGACTTGAGTCACTTCAAACTGCCAATGTGAACATGGCTTAAATGTCCAGTGTTGGTCTCTGTCCTTTAGGACCTGAAGGATGAGACTAAGAAGGCCAGGATGGCAGCAGCCAGAGCAGTGCTGGAGAAATGCACCATGATGCTGCTCACTGCATCCAAGGTATGTACATCCTACCACTACTGCTAATGTAGTAGGTCAAAGCTGTGAGCTGGAAAACCTTAGTACTGCATGGGTGAAATTAGGCCTTGTGGTGGTCATGTGAATTTTCATTCTTTTTCGGATTCAAACCAGCCTAACCTCACTTAAAACAGTTTTTGTGTTAAATATACAGTGGGGAGAACAAGTATTTGATACACTGCCGATTTTGCAGATTTTCCTACTTACAAAGCATGTAGAGGTCTGTAGTTTTTATCATAGGTACACTTCAACTGTGAGAGACGGAATCTAAAACAAAAATCCAGAAAATCACATTGTATGATTTTTAAGTAATTAATTTGCATTTTATTGAATGACATAAGTATTTGATCACCTACCAACCAGTAAGAATTCCGGCTCTCACAGACCTGTTAGTTTTTCTTTAAGAAGCCCTCCTGTTCTCCACTCATTACCTGTATTAACTGCACCTGTTTGAACTCGTTACCTGTATAAAAGACACCTGTCCACACACTCAATCAAACAGACTCCAACCTCTCCACAATGGCCAAGACCAGAGAGCTGTGTAAGGACATCAGGGATAAAATTGTAGACCTGCACAAGGCTGGGATGGGCTACAGGACAATAGGCAAGCAGCTTGGTGGGAAGGCAACAACTGTAGGCGCAATTATTAGAAAATGGAAGAAGTTCAAGATGACGGTCAATCACCCTCGGTCTGGGGCTCCATGCAAGATCTCACCTCATGGGGCATCAATGATCATGAGGAAGGTGAGGGATCAGCCCAGAACTACACGGCAGGACCTAGTCAATGACCTGAAGAGAGCTGGGACCACAGTCTCAAAGAAAACCATTAGTAACACACTACGCCGTCATGGATTAAAATCCTGCAGCGCACGCAAGGTCCCCCTGCTCAAGCCAGGGCATGTCCAGGCCCGTCTGAAGGTTGCCAATGACCATCTGGATGATCCAGAGGAGGAATGGGAGAAGGTCATGTGGTCTGATGAGACAAAAATAGAGCTTTTTGGTCTAAACTCCACTTGCTGTGTTTGGAGGAAGAAGAAGGATGAGTACAACCCCAAGAACACCATCCCAATCGTGAAGCATGGAGGTGGAAACATCATTCTTTGGGGATGCTTTTCTGCAAAGGGGACAGGACGACTGCACCGTATTGAGGGGAGGATGGATGGGGCCATGTATCGCGAGATCTTGGCCAACAACCTCCTTCCCTCAGTAAGAGCATTGAAGATGGGTCGTGGCTGGGTCTTACAGCATGACAACGACCCGAAACACACAGCCAGGGCAACTAAGGAGTGGCTCCGTAAGAAGCATCTCAAGGTCCTGGAGTGGCCTAGCCAGTCTCCAGACCTGAACCCAATAGATCATCTTTGAAGGGAGCTGAAAGTCCGTATTGCCCAGCGACAGCCCCGAAACCTGAAGGATGTGGAGAAGGTCTGTATGGAGGAGTGGGCCAAAATCCCTGCTGCAGTGTGTGCAAAACTGGTCAAGACCTACAGGAAACGTATGATCTCTGTAATTGCAAACAAAGGTTTCTGTACCAAATATTAAGTTCTGCTTTTCTGATGTATCAAATACTTATGTCATACAATAAAATGCAAATAATTACTTAAAAATCATACAATGTGATTTTCTGGATTTTTGTTTTAGATTCCGTCTCTCACAGTTGAAGTGTACCTATGATAAAAATTACAGACCTCTACATGCTTTGTAAGTAGGAAAACCTGCAAAATCGGCAGTGTATCAAATACTTGTTCTCCCCACTGTATATATATATATGAGGTAGAGGGACTGTATTACTACAATTGATTCCAAATATGGACTGTTTCTTCTTCTGCTGCTTGGTTTTCAAATCATGTGCCAGATAAAATCATGAGTCTCTCTCTTCCCTGTAGACGTGTCTCAGACACCCTGACTGCGAGTCGGCGCGTATCAACAAAGACGCCGTGTTTCACCGCATGCGTTTCGCCCTGCAGCAGGTCATCGAGATCGTGACGGACACCCGGCCCTGCGGGGAGACCAAGGTCCTTCCCCTCAGCATTTACACCGGCATCAAGGACTTCAAGGTGGGACGACAGGGGAGGACCGAGCCTGGGGGCTCCTTCCATATGTTGTTGTCTTTTGTTCCACTTTGTATTGTAACAAGGTTCTAAGTAACAATGTGTTATTACACTGTACTTGCCTGTGTTAATACAGTATGCCGCTTTAGGCCTGGACATACAAAGATGAAGCATGCTAGGAGTTCTTTGCGATTTCTTTAGAATAAGTCAATTATCCTTAGACAACCTGAAATGCCAGTAGCTTGTTTTTGAACTAGATAATAGACTGCACCAGAGATCATAGCGCTTTCTAATGATCTTCTCTGTCTCTGCCTGTGTCTGTGTCTCTGCCTGTGTCAATTCAATCATTGGCATGGAAAATAGTTTTTGTATTCACTATTGTCTCTGTCTCTATGTCTCTGTCTTTGTCTCTGTCTCTCTGTCTCTCTCTGTCTGTGTCTCTGTCTCTCTGTCTGTCTCTCTGTCTATGTCTGTGTCTCTGTGTGTCTGTCTCTGTCTCTGATCCCAGTCCAACGTGGAAGGTCTGCGTGAGGGTCTGTACTCGCTGCCCCACCAGGCTCTGTCTGGCCAGCTGGATGCGGTGGTGGAGAGGACTGAGGACTTCACTGACTCGGCCTACACCAGCCATGAGCACCGAGAGGGCATCCTGCAGCTCTCCCAGCTAGCCCGCCAGGACACTGACCAGCTCATCGCAGCCTGGATGGAGGCGGTATGTGGCATTCACAGGGCATACATGCACATGTAAACAGTCATACATGCATACACAAACATGTATACATGTACTCACACAGATATGTGATAGATATGGACTCATACGAAAAAGGCTCCTTAACAGCTTCTACCCCCAAGTCATAAGACTGCTGAACAATTAATCAAATGGCCACCCAGACTATTTACATTGACACCCCCCCTCCATTTGTTTTTACACTGCTGCTACCCGCTGTCTATTATTTTACATTTTAGTCATTTAGCAGACGGTCTTATCCAGAGCGACTTACAGTTAGTGAGTGCATACATTTTCATACTGGCCCCGCGTGGGAAACGAACCCACAACCCTGGCGTTGCAAGCGCCATGCTCTACCAACTGAGCTACAGGGGACTATTATCTATGCATAGTCACTTTACCCCTACCTACATGTACAAATTACCTAGACTAACCTGTACCCCCTGTATATAGCCTCGTTATTGTTATTTTATTGTTACTTAGTATTATTTACTTTAGTTTATTTTGTTAATATTTTCTTAACTCTTTCTTGAACTGCATTGTTGGTTAAGGGCTTGTAAGTGAGCATTTCACTGTAAGGTCTACACCTGTTGTATTCGGCGCATGTGACAAATAAAGGTTGATTTGATTTTAAGAGCACACATACAGTATGTCATGATTTAGCACATATGAATATGCACATTTACACGTATAAATACCCCCAGACTTTTGTTTCTGCACGCACATTTGATTAAACCTTTATTTAACCAGGTTAGTCTCGTTGAGATAAAAATCTATTGTTCAAGAGACACCTGGAACACACACATTCACTTTCTCACTGTATCTCCTTTCTATATTGTCAGTGAATGTTCTTGAGCTGTCAAGTGATTCTCTGGGTGACAAATGGATCACACTGCAGGAGTGTAGCTACATTACCTTGTGTACTGTTGCTAGGTTTACAGATAATATGGAGGAGAAGGATAGAATATCCAGCCTTTTCACACTACCCTCCCACATAATACTATACAGTACTATTTTCCTTCATTCACTATAGGCCTATTTCCATACAGGATTTACCCCAGTGTTTTACCCAAAAGTCTCAGACTTGTCTGTTTCCATCTACGCGGGCCAGTACCCGTGTCTCACTGGACCATAGATCCGGCGGACCTGCTGTCACTTGGGGCCAAAACCAGGCCACTGGTACTTTTCCAGAACTTTAACACCTTCTCACAAAGCAACTGTTTTGATTATGCAGAGGTTGTTGATTCTTCTCTTCACAAGTTCTCATTGTCAGCCCTAGCTGTCCCTAGTATAACATAAGGGTGTATACACTAGTGTAACACTGGTGTTGCAGTCGAAAAGCAGTACATAGATGTTGGATCTAACTTGAAGTCAGCCTCGTTGTATGAATGGCTATCCACTCGACTCCATTGATTACATGGAACACATTGTATTCTCTGTCTCTCTCGACACCTCACTCAAAAGATTCTCCTTGGACTCAAACTTGGAGGTTTTATACAATGTGTTTTTCTATCGTTATAACGATGTGAAAGTAGAGGCCACAGTTCCACTGACAGATTGAATGGAATCAGAGCTACAACACGTTGAAGGATTGGCTCCCTATTGAGACCCATTTCCACAACGTGCGTCACTAGCTGGATCCCAGGGTCTGTTCGTGTTTCTCTACTCAATTCAGTAGAAACAGAGAGGGTGTGAGAAGGTGTGTTACTCCACTCATTTAAGTGGAAACCGAGAGAGTGAGATGAGGTATGTTCCTTATCTTATTTCAGTAGAAACAGAGGGTGTGGTGAGTGGTTCAAAGACAAATCATCTGGTGCCTCCTGCTTGTTTGACAGTGTTTTTACACCCTGCTGTAATCCTCTCTGTGCACGGTCGGTACTGCCCACCTGTCTCCTTGGCCTAAGAACCTGTGTCTGAAACTGTCATGTTTCACAGGCTATTGGTGAAGCAGAAGGGATCTCTCTCTCTCTGACAGGGCCTGAGCAGGGCTGTGTGATCTTGTGTGGGTCAGAAACTGACTCCTCCTTCCTCTGCAGAGACAGGCCACGTCCAAGGCAGCAGTCCATGTGCATGATTTATGTGACCACTCTTTATCTTTTCTCCCTCCCTCCCCTTTTTTTTGTTTTTGTCTTTCTTTCAAGAAGCACTCTCTTAATGCTAGAGAGGCCACGGAGGAGATGGAGCTGTCTATACTGAAGACCTGCCAAAGTGTCTACGAACTCCGCAGAGAGGTGAGTCCTGTAACCCTGCGCTCCTACTCAGAATGCATCACTGTCTGGCATGCCAAGGGGTTCAGTCCTAGAGCATTTCTGTACTCTCCATCACAGTTTGTCTGTATCCCTTGTCTTTGATATGCCCACATTACTCTCTCTCTGTTTACTTCTTCTCTTTATCCTCTAGAGTGTACACTGCCACTCTCCCTCTTTCTGTCTCTGACACTCTCCCTCTTTCTGTCTCTGACACTTCCTCTTTCTCTCTCTGACACTCCCTCTTTCTCTCTCTGCCACTCTCCCTCTTTCTCTCTGACATTCTCCCTCTTTCTCTCTGACACTCTCCCTCTTTCTCTCTCTGACACTCTCCCTCTTTCTCTCTCTGACACTCTTCCTCTTTCTGTCTTTGACACTCTTCCTCTTTCTCTCTCTGACACTCCCTCTTTCTCTCTCTGACACTCCCTCTTTCTCTCTCTGACACTCTCCCTCTTTCTCTCTCTGACACTCTTCCTCTTTCTGTCTCTGACACTCTTCCTCTTTCTGTCTCTGACACTCTCCCTCTTTCTGTCTCTGACACTTCCTCTTTCTCTCTCTGACACTCCCTCTTTCTCTCTCTGCCACTCTCCCTCTTTCTCTCTCTGACACTCTCCCTCTTTCTCTCTCTGACACACTCCCTCTTTCTGTCTCTGACACTCTCCCTCTTTCTGTCTCTGACACTCCCTCTTTCTCTCTCTGACACTCCCTCTTTCTGTCTCTGACACTCTCCCTCTTTCTGTCTCTGACACTCTCCCTCTTTCTCTCTCTGACACACTCCCTCTTTCTGTCTCTGACACTCTCCCTCTTTCTCTCTCTGACACTCTCCCTCTTTCTCTCTCTGACACACTCCCTCTTTCTGTCTCTGACACTCTCCTTCTTTCTCTCTCTGACACTCCCTCTTTCTCTCTCTGACACTCTCCCTCTTTCTCTCTCTGACACTCTCCCTCTTTCTCTCTCCTCTTTCTCTCTTTCTGTCTTACTATTCTTTTCTCTTTCCATTGTGCAGCCAGGCGTACAAAAGATACAAAATGTTCACACATATTCACCCCCTCTCTTTCCCTCTCCCGTCCAGCTCCATAAGGTGGCGGTGGGGAGGGCGGCGGACCTGCTGAAGCTGCATGCGGAACACCTGCCTCTGCGGGCCCTGAAGGCCTCGGGGGGCGAGGGCAACCTGGAGGCCGTGGCAGAGTACGCCCGGACGCTTGGCGAACAGAAAGAACAGCTGGTGGAGGTGAGAGAAGCTCACTGGGCTGGGGAGGTTGACTTAAGTCTGTTGAATCTCCTTGTTCAAGTCACCATTGAAGCACAATAAAGTATTCAATTCAATCAACAAAAATCCAACCTCATATCCATCTCTATGCCTGAGTATATGGACATGGGATGTGTGATGTGGCCTACTGGCTTTGGAAGCCTTTATGTATTTTTCCAATTGAAATATCTGGATAAGTATCTTGATCTGTTGTTGGCATCTACATGTAGGTCTATGTTTGCTGCTCATATCCAGTCATATTGATGTTAGACGCCAATGTTGTTTGTCCTGTTCCAGACGTGTCGTCTGCTGTGTCACGTCTCAGGGACAGAGCCTCTGGAGATCACCTGTATACACGCTGAGGAGACCTTCCACGTCATCGGCCCACAGGTAACACACTCTGACAGGTAACACACACACTCTGACAGGTAACACACACACTCTGACAGGTAACACACACACACTGACAGGTAACACACACACACACACACTGACAGGTAACACACACACACATACTGACAGGTAACACACACACACACACACTGACAGATAACACACACACACACACACACTGACGGGTAACACACACACAGACACTGACAGGTAACACACACAGACACACACACACACTGACAGGTAACACACACACACACACTGACAGGTAACACACACTGATAGGTAACACACACTGACAGGTAACACACACACACACTGACAGGTAAACACACACACACACAACACTGACAGGTTAACACACACCACACCACACACACACTGACAGGTAACACACACACACACACTGACAGGTAACACACACACACCACTCTGACAGGTCCACCACACACACACACCACACACACACACTGACAGGTAACACACACACACACTGACAGGTAACACACACACTGACAGGTAACACACACACACACTCTGACAGGTCACACACACACACACACACACACACACTGACAGGTAACACACACACACACACTGACAGGTAACACACACAGACACACACACACACTGACAGGTAACACACACACACCACACACACTGACAGGTAACACACACACACACACACACACACACACACTGACAGGTAACACACACTGACAGGTAACACACACACACACACTGACAGGTAACACACAACACACACACTGACAGGTAACACACACACACACTCTGACAGGTCACACACACACACACACACACACACACTGACAGGTAACACACACACACACTGACAGGTAACACACACACTGACAGGTAACACACACTGAGGACGGGGCCCTGAAGGGCCAAAACAAGACACATGCTATAGTCCTGATCATGTCTTCATGTCTGATACAATCCATGTTGTGACAGAAACTTGATAAGCTGTATAACCTCTCCATTATCAAGGTTCAGTTTGTCAGCACATCCTCTGCCATCTTGATCCCCTGTAGCTTCACCCCCATCCATTAAACATAGCCAACCATTGCAGAAACAGACATTAAGATGACTTCATCTGATACATGGAGAAATAACTCAGACCACATGACACAAGTCAGAGTGCATCACCCCCAGTGTGCTGCATTTAATTGGCAATTACCCGTGGGAGTCCCTTTATTATCATTGAAAGACACGCACACACCAGTATCATCCCTCACTGCTGGGCGGTGGCTCCCCCTCTGTGACCTTATTGATTGGTTGACCTTTGAGCCTATGAGCTCAGTCATTACTGCGGGGTCATGCAGCGTCTGACGTTACCGTGGGCGGATCATCACATTTCACACTACACCCCCAGCAGCAGATAATAACCCTCCCAACGGCCTGGAAGACCAAACATAATTAGAAAAGTGGGGGACAAAACTGATGCCCCGCTGAAGATTGTGTGAAATGGAACAAATCCACCCCCACACTGAGAGGAAATGATCCGGTATAACTCCTGTGTCTCTGCTCTCTCATAGAATAGTTAAACATTGTATGAGACTTAGGCCTGCTTCCATTCAAATCAAATCAAATGTTATTTGCCACATGCGCCGAATACAACAGGTGTAGTAGACCTTACAGTGAAATGCTTACTTACAAGCCCTTAACCAACAATGCAGTTTTATAAGAAAATAAAAAAGTGTTAAGTAAAAAATAGATAAGTAAAAAATAAAAAATAGCAAATAATTAAAGAGCAGCAGTAAAATAAAATAACAGTAGGGAGGCTATATAAATCAAATCAAATCAAATCAAATTGTATTGGCCACATGCGCCGAATACAACAGGTGCAGACATTACAGTGAAATGCTTACTTACAGCCCTTAACCAACAGTGCATTTATTTTTAATAAAAAAGTAAAATAAAACAACAACAAAAAAGTGTTGAGAATAAAAGTATAAAATAACAGTAGGGAGGCTATATATACAGGGGGAGGTACCGGTGCAAAGTCAATGTGCGGGGGCACCGGCTAGTTGAGGTTGTTGAAGTAATATGTACATGTGGGTACCGGTACATTTACATTTATATTTACATAATTTAGCAGACGCTCTTATCCAGAGCGACTTACAAATTGGTGCATTCAACTTATACGGTACAGAGTCAATGTGCGGGGGCACCGGTTAGTCAAGGTAATATGTACATGTGGGTAGAGTTAAAGTGACTATGCAGCGTAAAAGAGGGGGTTGGGTTGGGGTGGGGTGGGGTGGAGTGGGGGGGCAATGCAAATAGTCCGGGTAGCCATGATTAGCTGTTCAGGAGTCTTATGGCTTGAGGGTAGAAGCTGTTAAGAAGCCTTTTGGACCTAGACTTGGCGCTCCGGTACCGCTTGCCGTGTGGTAGCAGAGAGAACAGTCTATGACTAGGGTGGCTGGAGTCTTTGATAATTTTTAGGGCTTTCCTCTGACACCGCCTGGTATAGAGGTCCTAGTCTTTTGGTCTAGGTCCAAAATACTTCTCAACAGCTTCTACCCCCAAGCCATAAGACTCCCGAACAGCTAATCATGGCTACCCGGACTATTTGCACTGCCCCCCCACCCCATCCTTTTTACGCTGCTGCTACTCTGTTAAGTATTTATGCATAGTCACTTTAACTCTACCCACATGTACATATTACCTCAACTACCTCAACTAGCCGGTGCCCCCGCACATTGACTCTGCAACGGTACCCTCCTGTATATATAGCCTCCCTACTGTCACTTTATTTTACTTCTGCTCTTTTTTTCTCAACACTTTTTTTGTTGTTGTTTTATTCTTACTTTTTTTGTTTAAAATAAATGCACTGTTGGTTAAGGGCTGTAAGTAAGCATTTCACTGTAATGTCTGCACCTGTTGTATTTGGCGCATGTGACCAATAAAATTTGATTTGATTTGAGATGGCAGGAAGCTTGGCCCCAGTGATGTACTGGGCCGTACACACTACCCTCTGTAGTGCCTTGCGGTCGGAGGCCGAGCAGTTGCCATACCAGGCGGTGATGCAACCAGTCAGGATGCTCTCGACGGTGCAGCTGTATAACTTTTTGAGGATCTGAGGACCCATGCCAAATCTTTTTAGTCTCTTGAGGGGGCTTTGTCGTGCCCTCTTCACGACTGTCTTGCTGTGTTTGGACCATGATAGTTTGTTGGTGATGTGGACATCAAGGAAATTGAAGCTCTCAACCTGTTCCACTACAGCCCCATCGTGGAGAATGGGGGCGTGCTCAGTCCTCTTTTTTTCCTGTAGTCCACAATCATCTCTTTTGTCTTGATTACGTTGAGGGAGAGGTTGTTATCCTGGCACCACATGGCCAGGTCTCTGACCTCCTCCCTATAGGCTGTCTCATCGTTGTCGGTGATCAGGCCTACCACTGTTGTGTCGTCGGCAAACTTAATGATGGGTCGTGCCTGGCCATGCAGTCATGGGTGAACAGGGAGTACAGGAGGGGACTGAGCATGCACCCCTGAGGGGCCCCCGTGTTGAGGATCAGCATGGCAGATGTGTTGTTACCTACCCTTACCACCTGGGGGCGGCCCGTCAGGAAGTCCAGGATCCAGTTGCAGAGGGAGGTGTTTAGTCCCAGGTTCCTAAGCTTAGTGATGAGCTTTGAGGGCACTACAGTCGCTGTCAAAAGTTTTGAGAATGACACAAGTATTGGTCTTCACAAAGTTCGCTGAGATATTTTTGTCAGATGTTACTATGGTATACTGAAGTATAAGTACAAGCATTCCATAAGTGTCAAAGGCTTTTATTGACAATTACATTAAGTTTATGCAAAGAGTCAATATTTGCAGTGTTGACCCTTCTTTTTCAAGACCTCTGCAATCCGCCCTGGCATGCTGTCAATTAACTTCTGGGCCACATCCTGACTGATGACAGCCCATTCTTGCATAATCAATGCTTGGAGTTTGTCAGAATTTGTGGGTTTTTGTTTGTCCACCCGCCTCTTGAGGATCGACCACAAGTTCTCAATGGGATTAAGGTCTGGGGAGTTTCCTGGCCATGGACCCACATTTTTTATGTTTTGTTCCCCGAGCCACTTAGTTATCACTTTTGCCTTATGGCAAGGTGCTCCATCATGCTGGAAAAGGCATTGGTCGTCACCAAACTGTTCTTGGATGGTTGGGAGAAGTTGCTCTCGGAGGATGTGTTGGTATCATTCTTTATTCATGGCTGTGTTCTTAGGCAAAATTGTGAGTGAGCCCACTCCCTTGACTGAGAAGCAACCCCACACATGAATGGTCTCAGGATGCTTTACTGTTGGCATGACACAGGACTGATGGTAGCGCTCACCTTGTCTTATCCGGACAAGGTGTTTTCCAGATGCCCCAAACAATCGGAAAGGGGATTCACTTTACCCCAGTCCTCAGCAGTCCAATCCCTGTACCTATTGCAGAATATCAGTCTGTCCCTGATGTTTTTCCTGGAGAGAAGTGGCTTCTTTGCTGCCCTTCTTGACACCAGGCCATCCTCTAAAAGTCTTCGCCTCACTGTGCGTGCAGATGCACTCACACCTGCCTGCTGCCATTCCTGAGCAAGCTCTGCACTGGTGGTGCCCCGATCCCACAGCTGAATCAACTTTAGGAGACGGTCCTGGCTCTTGCTGGACTTTCTTGGGCGCCCTGACGCCTTCACAACAATTGAACCTCTCTCCTTGAAGTTCTTGATGATCCGATAAATGGTTGATTTAGGTGCAATCTCACTAGCAGCAATATCCTTGCCTGTGAAGCCCTTTTTGTGCAAAGCAATGATGACGGCACGTGTTTCCTTACAAGTAACCATGGTTAACAGAGGAAGGACAATGATTTCAAGCACCACCCTCCTTTTAAAGCTTCCAGTCTGTTATTTTAACTCAATCAGCATGACAGAGTGATCTCCAGCCTTGTCCTCGTCAACACTCTCACCTGTGTTAACGAGAGAATCACTGACATGATGGCAGCTGGTCCTTTTGTGGCAGGGCTGAAATGCAGTGGAAATGTTTTTTTGGGGATTAAGTTCATTTTCATGGCAAAGAGGGACTTTGCAATTAATTGCAATTCATCTGATCACTCTTCATGCCATTCTGGAGTATATGCAAATTGCCATCATCAAAACCGAGGCAGCAGACTTTGTGAAAATCTGTATTTGTGTCATTCTCAACTTTTGACCACGACTGTATGGTGTTGAACGCTGAGCTGTAGTCAATGAATAGCATTCTCACGTAGGTGTTCCTCTTGTCCGGGTGGGAAAGGGCAGTGTGGAGTGCAATAGAGATTGCATTATTGTGGATCTGTTGGGGCGGTATGCAAATTGGAGTGGTTCTAGGGTTTCTGGGATAATGGTGTTGATATGAGCCATGATCAGCCTTTCAAATGACTTCATGGCTACAGACGTGAGTGCTGCGGGTCGGTGGTCATTTAGGCAGGTTATCTTAGTGTTCTTGGGCACAGGGACTATGGTGGTCTGCTTGAAACATGTTGGTATTACAGACTCAGTCAGGGACATGTTGTAAATGTCAGTGAAGACACTTGCCAGTTGGTCAGCATATGCTCGGAGTACACATCCTGGTAATCCGTCTGGCCCCGCGGCCTTGTGAATGTTGACCTGCTTAAAAGTCTTACTCACATCAGCTACGGAGAGCGTGATCACATAGTCATCCGGAACAACTGATGCTCTCATGCATGCTTCAGTGTTGCTTGCCTCGAAACAAGCATAGAAGTGATTTAGCTCGTCTGGTAGGCTTGTGTCACTGGGCAGCTCCTGGCTGTGCTTCCCTTGTAGTCTGTAATAGTTTTCAAGCCCTGCGACATCCGACGAGCGTTAGAGCCGGTATAGTACGATCTTAGTCCTGTATTGACTCTTTGCCTGTTTGATGGTTCGTCGGAGGGCATAGCGGGATTTCTTATAAGCTTCCGGGTTAGAGTCCCGCTCCTTGAAAGCCGCAGCTCTAACCTTTAGCTCAGTGCGAATGGTGCCTGTAATCCATGGCTTCTGGTTGGGGTATGTACGTACAGTCACTGTGGGGACGACGTCATCGATGCACTTGTTGATGAAGCCAGTGACTGATGCGGTGTACTCCTCAATGCTATCGGAAGAATCCCGGAATATATTCCAGTCTGTGCTAGCAAAACAGTCCTGTAGCTTAGCATCTGCGTCATCTGACCACTTCCTTATTAACTGAGTCACTGGTGCTTCCTGCTTTAGTTTTTGCTTATAAGCAGGAATCAGGAGGATATAATTATGGTCATATTTGCCAAATGGAGGGCGAGGGAGAGCTTTGTAGGCGTCTCTGTGTGTGGAGTAAAGGAGGTCTAGAGTTTTTTTTCCTCTGGTTGCACATTTAACATGCTGGTAGAAATTAAGTAGAACGGATTTAAGTTTCCCTGCATTAAAGTCCCCGGCCACTAGGAGCGCTGCCTCTGGATGAACGTTTTCCTGTTTACTTATGGCCTTATACATTTACATTTTAGTCATTTAGCAGACGCTCTTATCCAGAGCGACTTACAGTTAGTGAATGCATACATGTATACAGCTCATTGAGTGCAATCTTAGTGCCAGCATCGGTTTGTGGTGGTAAATAGACAGCTACGAAAAATATAGATGTAATCTCTCTTGGTAAATAGTGTGTTCTACAGCTTATCATGAGATACTCTACCTCAAATCACAATCTCCTTTTCTTGGGCCCCTTGTTGGTCTTCCCTCAAAGAATCAACTGTTCTGGATAGGTTGAGTAACACAGTAATAGCTCCACTCAAGGCAGCGTTTCCCGTGTGGGGTCGCCTGATTTGGAAATGGGGTCGCGAGAGAAATGGTGAAAGAAAATGTAGAACCAAAAAATGTAAAACTGTTTTCCTCCTACACATCTTTTGAACAGTTTAAGCTACAAAATATTATGACCCCATCACTGAAAGATAAGACTCTCAGGAACACGTTTGTGTCTGTTTCCTTCTACAATGGCCACAAGCCTCATTAGAACAGAGTGGACAAGACCAGGCACTAAATCAGACTGGGGGGAAAAGGTCATGAATGATGATGTTATTTTCTACACAGGAAGGTCGTACAAAAATATTAGCTGATGATCTTCTGAACTTCCCAATACCTTTTTGATGCATTTCAGTCACTTCAAACCAGTACTTTTGAAATACTGTCAAAAGTAATGTCAGACTAATTTGTAATAGACTGTCAAATAAAAAAGTTAACATTGGCCGTTGATTACATTACTTTTGTTACATGGTGGGGTCACAAATACAATTTGATATCAAAATGGGTCGTGGGCCAAAAAAGTTTGGGAACCCCTGACTTAAGGTAGAACTTTGTGAACCTTATCAAAACACTTTAACAGTCCAATACAGTGTAAAACATAGCTCCTCCCTCTGCTCACTCCCTCTCTCTCTCCTGTCAGATCATCTCTGCAGCACAGACGCTGGCCCTTCACCCATCCAGTAAGATTGCCAAGGAGAATCTGGATGTGTTCTGTGAGGCCTGGGAGTCCCAGCTCTGCGACATGGCCGTGCTGCTAAGGGAGATCAACGACGTGTTCGAGGGCCGCCGAGGTAGGGCTGCCAGTGGTAGGAGAGGGGGAGAGGGATCCTGGTCGCAGGAGAGGGTTGTCGTAGGACAACTCACTACAAGCCGTGGTTGTTTTTACTCTCTGTCTCTCGCTGATCTGCGGTACTCTAATATGTATTGATCCTATTCATAGACAGTTGAATGTCTATAACCGTAGTTGTTTGTATTATCTGACACAATCTCTGTCAGGGAGGGGATGTCAGATTAAAGCACCATCAACAGGATACCTCTGATCGAGTCGGAGATACAAACCGTTCTGTTACATGCCTGACAGCCAGTGTGTGCGCACGCGCGTTCGTTTGTGCATTTGTGTCCCAGCGTGGTGATGCCAGACGTTTCTCAGAGCTCTCTCCCAGCCCGCAGCGTGATTCCTATCATCCGTAACCTCTGTGGCGTGTCACGGTGCCAGTATTTATGGGCTACGATCCTAATGACAAGCAGCGAGAGAGACGACGTCCCCCTGCTAAAGCCATTGAATAGAGGAGGAACAAGGATAAATGTCCCTCCCTGGTGGAAGTTTAACGATGAACTTCACACTGTTCCCTCGAGTCGTGGCTCTCACATAGCAAAAGTGCTATTATTCCTCTGGTACAACTGGTAGGGGTGTGTGTTTATCTTTGTGTGTGTGTGTGTGTGTGTGTGTGTGTGTGTGTGTGTGTGTGTGTGTGTGTGTGTGTGTGTGTGTGTGTGTGTGTGTGTGTGTGTGTGTGTGTGTGCGTGTGGAGGGGGTGTGGTACTCAAGCGACACAGACAAGCCCTCCAAAAAGCTGCAAAGCTTTTATGTGAAGTAATGCTCCTTTTACGGCAGTGCCTCATAAGCCGTTAAACACGTCAGTGATGTTTATCACACCCTCACCACCCCTGTAAATTCTACTTAAATGTCCCTTTACCGGGACTTAGAGAGTGAGGCTGAAGATCTCAGCACCTGACAAGAAATCTGTTGAGTTGATTGGTTGCACTCCATTTGAAGTCTGATAGAGGATGTGTTAGGGATAATCAACTGTAGTATGATAGAGGATGTGTTAGGGATAATCAACTGTAGTATGATAGAGGATGTGTTGGGGATAATCAACTGTAGTATGATAGAGGATGTGTTGGGGATAATCAACTGTAGTATGATAGAGGATGTGTTGGGGATAATCAACTGTAGTATGATAGAGGATGTGTTGGGGATAATCAACTGTAGTATGATAGAGGATGTGTTAGGGATAATCAACTGTAGTATGATAGAGGATGTGTTGGGGATAATCAACTGTAGTATGAAAGAGGATGTGTTAGGGATAATCAACTGAATCCCTCCCTTTTAGTATATTTTCATGGGTTGGAATGAAAGGCAGGAAACCATTTGAAAATACAGGAAACAAAAGTACATAGGGCATTTCAAAAGGCACACAATAATTTAGCTGGAAAATGATTTTACCAAACTAACCTTGTGATCCAATGCCCAGAATATGACTTTAAAAAATATATTTCCTCAAAATACGTTCTTTCTTTCTGATTAATTACAGGTGATAAGAGAGCCTACTTGTCGCTTCCCAGACCAGGGGTGAGTATCAGAATATTCAATGTTATGACTGGTGGATATTTCTTATTTCATTTTATTCAAATTACTTTCCATAATTTCCTCCTTTAATATCACTCATCCTGTCAAACATTTTCTCCCCCCAGAAACATTCAGCCAACCTGAAGACGGTGAAGGCTGTCAAGCTAGATGCGGAGGTATAACTTAATCATCAATGACACAATACACCTCACATAGGCTGTGTCCCAAATCAAATGTACTCTATTCCCCCCCCAGGGGCCCTGGTCAAAAGAAGTGCACTATATAGGGGATAGGGTGCCATTTGGGACGCATCTATTACCTCTACTTCCTCACCCTGACAGGTGAATTCATTCTGCAGGAAATTAATAACTGTTCAAACACACTATTGCGGAATCATGGCGATATTGCAGGAACCATGGTCTGCTAGATTTTAGCAGTACTCTGTCAGTCATGACTGGGAATGCAGGGTCTAGAGTGTTTTATGTGTAACTTAGTACACAATATGATAATCAATAATTGGAAATGATTAGGAAATATTGTGGCTGATTGATAATGCATGACATTGAGAGGTGAAGTGCAGAACTGAGTTTTATATTCAAACTGATAATGCATGATTATGAATGATCGTGAATCACTAACACAGATGATAATGAATGAATGATGATATCTATAAAGTAATCTACTTATTGCTCAAGGACCACCCAATATTGCCTGACCTTATACCTAAGCAGCCTGGGCAGGTTTCCCAAAAGCATCTTAAGGCGAAGTTCTTCGTTTGAACCTTTGTAGGAACATCGTTAAATCTCCAATATTTTTCCAAAAACCATTGTTTCTGAAATTGCACTTGAAAAGGCTTGTTAATTAACGACTGCCTCAGACCACTAGTAGAACAGCTAAGTGCCTGGTTAGATGTTTATCTGTCTTTCTGTGACCACCGATAACTGCAGAACGAATGTGACTACAAATAGAAAGTTGCCAATGTCTAGGCAATTGTTACAAACAAGCGAAGGATATACCGAGATGACTGTATTAACAGATACTGTATAGGCTACATAGACCACATAGACTGCTCAAAAAAATAAAGGGAACATTAAACAACACAATGTAACTCCAAGTTAATCACACTTCTGTGAAATCAAACAGGAAGCAACACTGATTGACAATACATTTCACATGCTGTTGTGCAAATGAAATCAAACAGGAAGCAACACTGATTGACAATACATTTCACATGCTGTTGTGCAAATGGAATAGACAACAGGTGGAAATTATGAATGGTGGTGACCACAGAGCACTTCTCAGTTCCTATGCTTCCTGGCTGATGTTTTGGTCACTTTTGAATGCTGGCGGTGCTTTCACTCTAGTGGTAGCATGAGACGGAGTCTACAACCCACACAAGTGGCTCAGGTAGTGCAGCTCATCCAGGATGGCACATCAATGCGAGCTGTGGCAAGAAGGTTTGCTGTGTCTGTCAGCGTAGTGTCCAGAGCATGGAGGCGCTACCAGGAGACAGGCCAGTACATCAGGAGACGTGGAGGGGGTCGTAGGAGGGCAACAACCCAGCAGCAGGACTGCTACCTCCGCCTTTGTGCAAGGAGGAGCAGGAGGAGCACTGCCAGAGCCCTGCAAAATGACCTCCAGCAGGCCACAAATGTGCATGTGTCTGCTCAAATGGTCAGAAACAGACTCCATAAGGGTGGTATGAGGGCCCGACGTCCACAGGTGGGGGTTGTGCTTACAGCCCAACACTGTGCAAGACGTTTGGCATTTGCCAGAGAACACCAAGATTAGCAAATTCACCACTGGCGCCCTGTGCTCTTCACAGATGCAACATCCTCCAGCATGACCGGTTTGGCGGTGGGTCAGTCATGGTGTGGGGTGGCATTTCTTTGGGGGGCCGCACAGCCCTCCATGTGCTCGTCAGAGGTAGCCTGACTGCCATTAGGTACCGAGATGAGATCCTCAGACCCCTTGTGAGACCATATGCTGGTGCGGTTGGCCCTGGGTTTCTCCTAATGCAAGACAATGCTAGACCTCATGTGGCTGGAGTGTGTCAGCAGTTCCTGCAAGAGGAAGGCATTGATGCTATGGACCGCCCGTTTCCCAGACCTGAATCCAATTGAGCACATCTGGGACATCATGTCTCGCTCCATCCACCAACGCCACGTTGCACCACAGACTGTCCAGGAGTTGGTGGATGCTTTAGTCCAGGTCTGGGAGGAGATTCCTCAGGAGACCATCCGCCACCTCATCAGGAGCATGCCCAGGCGTTGTAGGGAGGTCATACAGGCACGTGGAGGCCACACACACTACTGAGCCTCATTTTGACTTGTTTTAAGGACATTACATCAAAGTTGGATCAGCCTGTAGTGTGGTTTTCCACTTTAATTTTGAGGGTGACTCCAAATCCAGACCTCCATGGGTTGATAAATTTGATTTCCATTGATAATTCTTGTGTGATTTTGTTGTCAGCACATTCAACTATGTAAAGAAAAAAGTATTTAATAAGATTACTTCATTCATTCAGATGTAGGATGTGTTATTTTAGTGTTCCCTTAATTTTTTTGAGCAGTGTATTTCAATTGAGTTTTATTCAATTGAGTTTTATTATTTAGCTATTTGTACGCTACTGTTTGTAGTTTTTGCCTCAATATATTTCATGATGTGTAACAACATGCGCGCAATGATGTTTCAAATCTTGATTTAGTGCATTATTATAGGGTAAGCATTAGAATAATAAGCCGCCTCAATATTTGTAGCCATAGGTGATAATATCTCTTAGGAGCTGATCCGTCGTCAGTATTATGGAATAATTCTAATGTTAAGGTATGATTTGAAAGGGAGAAGGCTGATCCGAGAGCAGTGCTGTCTTTCTTTCGATCCTATCAGTATCGACACATGCCTCAACGACGCACTTAGTAAACGTTCTCTCTGCGTGGTGTTTTGGGAAACGCATGCTTCGGCCGTTGTAGGAAAGATGCATCGTTAAAACACTCTTAAGCCTAAATTCCATCGCAAAAAGAAAAAAACTGGGTCCTGGTTTGTTCTGTACTTTCGGATGGAATTATGAACTAATAAGGGACCCATTATCTTTCTTTCTTTCTTCAGGAGCAGAGCACCATAGCCAAGCTGGGTCTAGAGCTGCGTCTGTTGACCTCAGATGTGGACACGGAGGTGGAGAAGTGGGAGGACCAGGAGCATGACATCATCCGCCAGGGCCAGAGCATGTCCAGCATGGCCTACTCCATATACCTCTTCACCAGGTAGACCGTCTGTCTGTCTGTCTGGTTGGTTTTGTGTCACAGAAGAATGCAACTCCTTTTACCGCAAGGTACTTTGCACCAGCCAGGTATTGACCACCAGCCAGGTATTGATCACCAGCCAGGTATTGACTACATCTGTATGGATATAGAAGTAGAGGACACAGATGCTATCACAAATCTTGTTGCTATGATGTGCATAGTTAATTTAGAAAAGTATGTGGACACTCCTTCAAATTAGTGGATAAGCTATGGTATAAAATCAAGCACACCGCCATGCAATCTCCATAGACAAACATTGGCAGTAGAATGTCTCGTACTGAAGAGCTCAGTGACTTTCAACGATGCCACCATTCCAACAAGTCAGTTCGTCAAATTTCTGCCCTGCTAGAGCTGCCCGGGTCAACTGTAAGAGCTGTTATTGTGAAGTGGAAACGTCTAGGAGCAACAACGGCACACAGAACGGGACTGCCGAGTGCTGAAGCGCATAGTTCGTAGAAATCGGCTGTCCTCGGTTGCAACACTCACTACCGAGTTCCAAACTGCCTCTGGAAGCAACGGCAGCACAATAACTGTTCGTTGGGAGATTCATGAAATGGGTTTCCATGGCCGAACAGCCGCACACAAGCCTAAGATCCCCATGCGCAATGCCAAGCGTTGGCTGGAGTGGTGTAAAACTCGCCGCCATTGGACTCTGGAGCAGTGGAAACGCTTTCTCTGGAGTGATGAATCGCGCTTCACCATCTGGCAGTCCGACGGACAAATCTGGGTTTGGCGGATGCCAGGAGAACGCTACCTGCCCCAATGTTTAGTGCCAACTGTAAAGTTTGGTGGAGGACAAATAATGGTCTGGGGCTGTCATGGTTCGGGCTAGGCCCCTTAGTTCCAGTGAAGGGAAATCTTAACGCTACAGCATACAATTACCTTCTAGACAATTCTGTGCTTACAACTTTGTGGCAACAGTTTGGGGAAGGCCCTTTCCTGTTTCAGCATGACAATGCCCCAGTGCACTAAGCGAGGTCCATACAGAAATGGTTTGTCGAGATCGGTGTGGAAGAACTTGACTGGCCTGCACACAACCCCATCGAACACCTTTGGGATGAATTGGACCACAGACTGCGAGCCAGGCCTAATCGCCCAACATCAGTGCCTAACCTCACTAATGCTTGTGGCTGAATTGAAGCAAGTCCCCGCAGCAATGTTCCAACATCTAGTGGAAAGCCTTCACAGAAGAGTGGATGCTGTTATAGCAGCAAAGGGGGACCAACTCCATATTAATGTCTATGATTTTGGCCATGTAGTGTACTTCATCAGTTGTGTCATCAGGTAATATTTAATTCACTCAGTTCTGTTTTTCGTTCATTTCCTGTATCGATTGTGCAGGGGGGAGGGCCTACTGAAGACAACCACAGATCTGTTCCACCAGGCTGAGGTAAAGTACTGTACACGTCCCCTGTCCTCCTCTCCACTCATCCCTCTCCTCTCCCTTCATCCCCCTCTACTTCATACAGGGCTTTAATTGAATATGTCCCAGGTGCCATTAAACACAACCACGTCCCTGGGAGAAGACAGAATCAATACACTATTAAAAGGCCCAAGACAATACTTTGCCTGTGGTAAGGAGAGGATGAGTAGGGGAGCAGAGTGCCCCGGCCTGAGCTTAATATAAAGAGAGCAGGAGAGAGACGGAGAGAGGCAGAGAGAGAGAGGCAGAGAGAGAGAGGCAGAGAGAGAGAGGCAGAGAGAGAGAGGCAGAGAGAGAGAGGGAGAGAGAGAGAGGCAGAGAGAGGGAGACAGAGAGACACAACCATAGAGACGCAAATATACTTTATATAACCTTTTCACACAGCAAAATGTAACCTGCAATTATCGTAATTGGCTTTTGAATTTGAAAACCTACAGTGTGTTCTGGTCTTGTTCACATCCTCCCAGCTACTTACAATACAGCCAATGAGTGTAATTGACAAGACTTGGCTGATAGATTTGCCAGACCAGTGTTCAGAATGTTCTGCCTGTGAAGTTAGTCATGTTTTTCTCTCTTTGTATCCTTCTGTTTTAATCTCTTTCTCTTTCTGCAGGTGCTTTCTGAGGAGGGACTCCAGCTGTGTTCTTCACTACACACTTTCTCCACCAAGGTACACAACCACGGACGGACGCACGCACTCACGCAACCACACACAGGCTCCGAGACAGCTTCTACCCCAAGCCATAAGACTGCTAAATAGCCAGACTGCTAAATAGCCAGACTGCTAAATAGTCAATTAATGGTACCCGAACTGCACTGACTATCTTGCTCTGACCCTACGCACACTCACTAGACTATATATACACACCACATACACACTCACTAGACTATATATACACACCACATACACACTCACTAGACTATATATACACACCATACACACACTCACTAGACTATATATACACACCATACACACACTCACTAGACTTTATATACACACCACATACACACTCACTAGACTATATATACACACCATATACACACTCACTAGACTATATATACACACCATATACACACTCACTAGACTATATATACACTCCATATACACACTCACTAGACTATATATACACACCATATACACACTCACTAGACTATATATACACACCATATACACACTCACTAGACTATATATGCACACACTCACTAGACTATATATACACACCATATACACACTCACTAGACTATATATACATACCACATACACACTCACTAGACTATATATACACACCACATACACACTCACTAGACTATATATACACACCATATACACACTCACTAGACTATATATACACACCATATACACACTCACTAAACTATATATACACACCATATACACACTCACTAGACTATATATACACACCACATACACACTCACTAGACTATATATACACACCATACACACACTCACTAGACTTTATATACACACCAAATACACACTCACTAGACTTTATATACAGTGAGGGAAAAAAGTATTTGATCCCCTGCTGATTTTGTACGTTTGCCCACTGACAAAGAAATGATCAGTCTATAATTTTAATGGTAGGTTTATTTGAACAGTGAGAGACAGAATAACAACAACAAAATCAAGAAAAACTCATGTCAAAAATGTTATAAATTGATTTGCATTTTAATGAGGGAATTAAGTATTTGACCCCCTCTCAATCAGAAATATTTCTGGCTCCCAGGTGTCTTTTATACAGGTAACGAGCTGAGATTAGGAGCACACTCTTAAAGGGAGTGCTCCTAATCTCAGTTTGTTACCTGTATAAAAGACCCCTGTCCACAGAAGCAATCAATCAATCAGATTCCAAACTCTCCACCATGGCCAGGACCAAAGCGCTCTCCAAGGATGTCAGGGACAAGATTGTAGACCTACACAAGGCTGGAATGGGCTGTAAGACCATCGCCAAGCAGCTTGGTGAGAAGGTGACAACAGTTGGTGCGATTATTCGCAAATGGAAGAAACACAAAAGAACTGTCAATCTCCCTCGGCCTGGGGCTCCATGCAAGATCTCACCTCGTGGAGTTGCAATTATCATGAGAACGGTGAGGAATCAGCCCAGAACTACACGGGAGGATCTTGTCAATGATCTCAAGGGCATTGAAGATGGGGTCGTGGATGGGTATTCCAGCATGACAGTGACCCAAAACACACGGCCAAGGCAACAAAGGAGTGGCTCAAGAAGAAGCACATTAAGGTCCTGGAGTGGCCTAGCCAGTCTCCAGACCTTAATCCCATAGAAAATCTGTGGAGGGAGCTAAAGGTTCGAGTTGCCTAACGTCAGCCTCGAAACCTTAATGACTTGGAGAAGATCTGCAAAGAGGAGTGGAACAAAATCCCTCCTGAGATGTGTGCAAACCTGGTGGCCAACTACAAGAAACGTCTGACCTCTGTGATTGCCAACAAGGGTTTTGCCACCAAGTACGAGGTCATGTTTTGCAGAGGGGTCAAATACTTATTTCCCTCATTAACATTTTTAACATGCGTTTTTCTGGATTTTTTTTATTTTATTCTGTCTCTCACTGTTCAAATAAACCTACCATTAAAATTATAGACTGATCATGTCTTTGTCAGTGGGCAAACGTACAAAATCAGCAGGGGATCAAATACTTTTTCCCCCTCACTGTACACACCATATACACACTCACTAGACTTTATATACACACCATATACACACTCACTAGACTTTATATACACACCATATACACACTCACTAGACTATATATACACACCATATACACACTCACTAGACTTTATATACACACCACATACCCACTCACTAGACTATATATACACACCATAAACACACCATATACACACTCACTAGACTATATATACACTCCATATACACACTCACTAGAATGTATATACAGTTGAAGTCGGAAGTTTACATACACAAGGTTGGAGAAGTAGAAGCTTCTGATAGGCTAATTGACATCATTTGAGTCAATTGGAGGTGTACCTGTCAATGTATTTCAAGGCCTACCTTCAAACTCAGTGCCTCTTTGCTTGACATCATGGGAAAATCTAAAGAAATCAGCCAAGACCTCAGAAAGAAATTGTAGACCTCCACAAGTCTGGTTCATCCTTGGGAGCAATTTCCAAACGCCTGAAGGTACCACGTTCATCTATACAAACAATAGTACGCAAGTAAACACCATGGGACCACGCAGCCATCATACCGCTCAGAAAGGAGACGCATTCTGTCTCCTAGAGAAGAACGTACTTTGGTGCGAAAAGTGCAAATCAATCCCAGAACAACAATAAAGGACCTTGTGATGTTGCTAGAGGAAACAGGTACAAAATGATCTATATCCACAGTAAAACGAGTCCTATATCGACATAACCTGAAAGGCCGCTCAGCAAGTAAGAAGCCATTGCTCCAAAACCGCCATAAAAAAGCCAGACTACGGTTTGCAACTGCACATGGGGACAAAGATCGTACTTTTTGGAGAAATGTCCTCTGGTCTGATGAAACAAAAATATAACTGTTTGGCCATGATGACCATCGTTATGTTTGGAGGATAAAGGGGGATGCTTACAAGCCGAAGAACACCATCCCAACCGTGAAGCATGGGGGTGGCAGCATCATGCTGTGGGGGTGCTTTGCTGCAGGAGGGCCTGGTGCACTTCACAAAATAGATGGCATCATGAGGAAGGACAATTATGTGGATATATTGAAGCAACATCAGTCAGGAAGTTAAAGCTTGGTCGCAAATGGGTCTTCCAAATGGACAATGACCCCAAGCATACTTCCAAAGTTGTGGCAAAATGGCTTAAGGACAACAAAGTCAAGGTATTGGAGTGGCCATCACAAAGCCCTGACCTCAATCATATAGACCATTTGTGGGCAGAACTGAAAAAGCATGTGCGAGCAAGGAGGCCTACAAACCTGACTCAGTTACACCAGCTCTGTCAGGAGGAATGGGCCAAAATTCACCCAAATACTAATTGAGTGTTTGTAAACTTCTGACCCACTGGGAATGTGATGAAATAAATAAAAGCTGAAATAAATCATTCTCTCTGCTATTATTCTGACATTTCACATTCTTAAAATAAAGTGGTGATCCTAACTGACCTAAGGCAGGGAATTTCTACTAGGATGAAATGTCAGGAATTGTGAAAAACTGAGTTTAAATGTATTTTGGTAAGGTGTATGTAAACTTCCGACTCCAACTGTACACACTCACTAGACTTTATATTCACACCATATACACACTCACTCACTCACACACACTACATTTACACGCCCACACAAAACATACATAACACACGCATACCGACACAACACAAACACACATACATACACATTACACACACACACTCACTTTTAAACTCATCATTTGCTGCTGCTACTCTGTTCTTTAGTTTACTCTTAGTATCTATCCTGATGCCTAGTCACTTTACCCTGCCTTCATGTACATATCTACCTCAAGTACCTTGTACCTCTGCACGTTGATCTGGTACTGGTACTCCCTGTATATACGCTGAACCAAAATATAAACGCAACATGTAACAATCAGAGATTTTACTGAGTTAAAGTTCTTATAAGAAAATCAGTCAATTTAAATAAATAAATTAGGCCCTAATCTATGGATTTCACATAATTGGGAATACAGAAATGCATCTGTTGGTCACAGATACCTTACAAAAAAGATGGGGCGTGGATCAGAAAACCAGTCAGTATCTGGTGTGACCACCATTTGCCCCATGCAGTGTGACACATCTCCATCGCATAGATGTAATCAGGCTGTTGATTGTGGCCTTTGGAATGTTGTCCCACTCTTCTTCAATGGCTGTGCGAAGTTGCTGGATATTTGCAGGAACTGGAACATGCTGTTGTACACATCGATCCAGAGCATCACAAACATGCTCAATGGGTGACATGTCTGTGTATGCAGGCCATGGAAGAACTGGGACATTTTCAGCTTCCAGGAATTGTGTACAGATCCTTGTGAAATGAAGTCGTGCATTATCATGCCATCATGGGGCACTCTGTTCACAACATTGACATCAGCAAACCGCTCACCCACTTGACGCCATACTGCCATCTGCCAGGTACAGTTAAAACCGGGATTCATCCGTGATTCATCCGTGAAGAGTGCACTTCTCCAGTGTGCCAGTGGCCATTGAAGGTGAGCATTTGCCCACTGAAGTCGGTTATGACGCCAAACTGTAGTCAGGTCAAGACCCTGGTGAGGATGACGAGCACGCAGATGAGCTTCCCTGAGACAGTTTCTGACAGTGTGCAGAAATTCTTTGGTTGTCTGGGTGGCTGTCTGGGTGGCTGGTCTCAGATGATCCCGTAGGTGAAGAAGCCGGATGTGGAGGTCCTGGGCTGGCGTAGTTACACGTGGTCTGCGGTTGTGAGGCCGGTTGGACGTACTGCCAAATTCTCTAAAACGGCTTATGGTAGAGAAATGAACATTTAAATTCTCTGGCAACAGCTCTGGTGGACATTCCTGCAGTCAGCATGCCAATTGCACGCTCCCTCAAAACTTCAGACATCTGTGGCATTGTGTGACAAAACTGCACATTTTAGAGTGAACATTTTTGGGATCTTTTATTTCAGCTCATGAAACATGGGATCAACCAGTTGCGTTTATTATTGTTCAGTGTAGCTCCATTCTTGCATTTTATTTTATTGCTCTAGTGTTACTATTTCCTCTTGTGTCACTCTGCATCGTTGGGAAGCTCGTAAACAAGCATTTCACGGTCAAGTCTACACCAGTATTCGGCACGTGACAAATAAAATTTGATTTGATTCTCCACCCAGGTAGCCTACTGCATGGATGTAAATCACACACACAGGGCAGGAAATTAATCCTGTTTCCTCTGTACTCAAATCAAAGAAACAAGTTAGTATGCCTCCCTCTCTCCAAAGTGCCCAGGTCCTGGAGTTTAATTAAATGCCCCTCTCTGACAGACATTAATGACTGCCATCCGTCTCTGGGGAAAGTGGCAATGTGGTTATCAGCATTGCTAACCCTGCTCTCCAGAGAGGGCACCTAAACACTAATACACACACACACGTGTGCAGGCAAATGTGCACACACACACAAACACGCAGACACACACACACACGCAGGCACACACACACGCAGGCACACACGCACGCACACAAACTACTAATACATAATCAACACATCCAGCATTTCAGCTCAGCAGCGTTACATTAATTACTTCAAACAAACATTGGCTAATCGAGTCCCCCCCCCCACCCTGGAATGAAGCAGGCTTGTGCAGCTGCACAAGTTATTTATGCTAATCAGCCTTAACGTTTTCAATTGAAACATTTTATTAGTATTATTACCAGAGGTTGTGAATGGTACGACACAGATCTATTCGAATGTACGATAATATCATTCACTTTTTTTGGGTCCAAATGAGAGACTTTAGGCACTGTTAGATTTTTATGCATCTACTCCATCCTAACCTTTACTGTGCTTTTATCTCACTTTTTAATTTCCGTGATCACATTTTTACTTGTATTTTTATATAACTAAATGTGTCTTTATGATCACATTTTCACTTTTATTTTTATAAAACTACATTACATTTTTGGTGATCACATTTGAACTTTTATTTTCATATAACTTAATGTCTTTATTTTGTGATCAAATTTTTACTTGTATTTTGATATACTAAATATTTCTCCCCTGATCCCTCTTCAACAGCTGATGGATGAAGAAAAGGTGGTAGTGCTGTCGGAGATGGAGAAGCTTATGGGTTTGTGTCAGCAGCTACAGATGGGGGTGAGGACACCGGTACAGGGCAAGACTGCCACCTTCCAGAAGGTACTATTATTGATATACTAGCCTTACATAATATGTGGAACTATGGTGTTGTCAATGACTGGATTTGTTTTTGTAATGAAATCCACTTTTATTCAAGTTCTATGTTACAATAGTCCGCAAAGGATTAGTCTATTAATTAGATTTGTCATACAGAATATAATATCAATATTTCCAGGAGAGCACATACAGTGGGGAAAAAAAGTTATTTAGTCAGCCACCAATTGTGCAAGTTCTCCCACTTAAAAAGATGAGAGAGGCCTGTAATTTTCATCATAGGTACACGTCAACTATGACAGACAAAATGAGATTTTAAAAAATCCAGAAAATCACATTGTAGGATTTTTAATGAATTTATTTGCAAATTATGGTGGAAAATAAGTATTTGGTCAATAACAAAAGTTTCTCAATACTTTGTTATATACCCTTTGTTGGCAATGACACAGGTCAAACGTTTTCTGTAAGTCTTCACAAGGTTTTCACACACTGTTGCTGGTATTTTGCCCCATTCCTCCATGCAGATCTCCTCTAGAGCAGTGATGTTTTGGGGCTGTCGCTGGGCAACACGGACTTTCAACTCCCTCCAAAGATTTTCTATGGGGTTGAGATCTGGAGACTGGCTAGGCCACTCCAGGACCTTGAAATGCTTCTTACGAAGCCACTCCTTCGTTGCCCGGGCGGTGTGTTTGGGATCATTGTCATGCTGAAAGACCCAGCCACGTTTCATCTTCAATGCCCTTGCTGATGGAAGGAGGTTTTCACTCAAAATCTCACGATACATGGCCCCATTCATTCTTAACTTTACACGGATCAGTCGTCCTGGTCCCTTTGCAGAAAAACAGCCCCAAAGCATGATGTTTCCACCCCCATGCTTCACAGTAGGTATGGTGTTCTTTGGATGCAACTCAGCATTCTTTGTCCTCCAAACACGACGAGTTGAGTTTTTTACCAAAAAGTTATATTTTGGTTTCATCTGACCATATGACATTCTCCCAATCCTCTTCTGGATCATCCAAATGCACTCTAGCAAACTTCAGACGGGCCTGGACATGTACTGGCTTAAGCAGGGGGACACGTCTGGCACTGCAGGATTTGAGTCCCTGGCGGCGTAGTGTGGTACTGATGGTAGGCTTTGTTACTTTGGTCCCAGCTCTCTGCAGGTCATTCACTAGGTCCCCCCGTGTGGTTCTGGGATTTTTGCTCACCGTTCTTGTGATCATTTTGACCCCACGGGGTGAGATCTTGTGTGGAGCCCCAGATCGAGGGAGATTATCAGTGGTCTTGTATGTCTTCCATTTCCTAATAATTGCTCCCACAGTTGATTTATTCAAACCAAGCTGCTTACCTATTGCAGATTCAGTCTTCCCAGCCTGGTGCAGGTCTACAATTTTGTTTCTGGTGTCCTTTGACAGCTCTTTGGTCTTGGCCGTAGTGGAGTTTGGAGTGTGACTGTTTGAGGTTGTGGACAGGTGTCTTTTATACTGATAACAAGTTCAAACAGGTGCCATTAATACAGGTAACGAGTGGAGGACAGAGGAGCCTCTTAAAGAAGTTGTTACAGGTCTGTGAGAGCCAGAAATCTTGCTTGTTTGTAGGTGACCAAATACTTATTTTCCACCATAATTTGCAAATAAATTCATTAAAAATCTTACAATGTGATTTTCTGGATTTTTTCTCTCTCAATTTGTCTGTCATAGTTGACGTGTACCTATGATGAAAATTACAGGCCTCTCTCATCTTTTTAAGTGGGAGAACTTGCACAATTGGTGGCTGACTAAATACTTTTTCCCCCCACTGTATGACTATAAATATAGTTCTACCATGTGACAAAAGACAATCTGGCTTGCTTGCTACTTAAACTGCATACTGTGTACTAATCATACTACATACTATTTAGAACTTACTGTTTAGTAAAAATGAATGCAGTAAGCAACCAATATTAGCATACAAGGCCCATCCTACGGAGAATGCGTCATCTAATTTTCAATTGCGTTGATTCCCGCCATTCGTTCATTTCGGTACAGCGCGTCCCCTCAGCTGACTGTCAGCTGTTGTCAGACACACGTGTGTCTCGAAATACAGTACGACATCCTGGCATTAAAGCGTACTCAATTTTCTAAATTGCACATACTATAAAACTAAAAACTTTCGCATTCCCAAAATACCTACTATTTAGAACGCAAGTACAGGTATTTGGACACGGTCATGGTTATAGGGAGCGTGAGACAACGCACTGAAAAGAAACCTGCGAGGAGTATTGATAAACTGCAATGAAAAGGACAGAGACAGTCAACCCATGCGGCATTGGGCAAACATTTGTTACTGCTTTACAGACAGAGGTCAATCATAAAAACATTATTGTAAAATTAAACCCTATAATGACGCTGAGCTTAATGAACCTCTTCAAATCTGTTTGACAGTGATGAACTGGCACGGGTCACCTTGTACTAATGGGAGAGGTTACAATCAGGATGAGAGAATAGAGAATAACATTGTGTGCATCCCAAATGGCATCCTATTCCCTATATAGTGTGCACTGATTTGAACAGGGCCCATAGGATTCTGGTCAAAAGTAGTGCATTATGTTGGGAATAGGGTGCCATTTGGGACACATCATGGGGCTTCTCTGATTAATGTGGATCTGTTAGACAGGCATGGGCTTTCCCCTCAAGTTGTCATTAGCCAGACAGATCGGTCCTCTGTCTGTCACAGGGGAATTAAGGGTGATTTAATCAGGCAAAGGTCATTGCTGAAAAGCCTTTTTAAATGGAGCAGGAGATGGGGGCTCTGTGTCTTTGGTGTGTCTAGTGTTGGTTTAGAAACACTCTTTAGAGAGACAACTTAGATTGTCACTAGAGTCCCTATCAGCTTTCCCATGTATGCATACCATTATTTGTTTGACCATTATCTGTATCTTTATGTTGTAATCATAATTATTACATTCTATCCAGACCACCATCCGTGGCATGTTTTTGTAATCTTCATCTCTGTCTGTCTCTAGGTGGATTCCTCCATTCAGAACACTAGAGCCATCATTACTGTGATGATCTACCTCCTGCCCGTCTGTAATAAGCTTGTCAGGAAGGTGAGAGGTCACAGTTGACATCAGCTCATCTACCAAGTGGTCCAAGTGCACTCTCTAACCAATGTTTACTGGGGTTTGAGTACACTTTTTTTTTTTTAAGTACAGATGAATATATCAATGGTGGTCATTTTCCAATGTTTTACATTGATTCAATTTGTTTTTTTCATTACTCTACCATGTCTGTGTCTACAGTATAAGTCAGAGAGGAGCAGTCTGGGTTCTCCACAGAGCTGGAGGGACAGGCAGTCATCCACGGCCATCAAAGACGACGTGCTCAACGGCAAGAACAGCAACGGCTTCGGGGTCAAATCCCTGGAGCAGCATATGGCCAACTTCACCTTCCTGGAGAGCAAGTAGTCCAGTCCAGCGACCTTTGATCCCTAACCTGTATCACCTATCAGAATTGGAGTGTACCATTGTCGACCACCAGGGGGCGACATACATAAAGCCTCACCCACCCTGCTCACACGTGCCTCTGTCAGTGTAATCAGCCCATTCTCTTTGTGGTGTAACTGTAACCTGTAGCACATCTCAGCCAAATACAAATACAGCACATGTATAAAAAAAAAGATGCTGTAATGAAATCCATCGCCAGTGCATGATGCCATGACCTGACAGGTCTTTTAATCTCCTGTTATCAATCCCTGTGATTTGGGCTGTTAAACCAGCTTTCTGATTGCCTGGTCCCAGATCAGTTTTGGCTGTCTAGTCAACTCCAATGGCTATTGTCGTGAGGAGTTGGCAAGACAGCCCAAACAGATCTGGTAGCAGATCAGCTTTCTGATGTTTCTCTCACTGTTGTACATCAACCAAATCCCATCATGGTTTAGTAATTGAGTGAAATTAATGCTCTCTCACTTTGATGCCAAATAAGAGAGTAAATGGATGGTTTAATCATTATGACACTTGGCTTGCTAATAGACTGAAACATAAGGCTCTTATTATTGCTCCATTTAAGCAGAGGCGGAGACAATTTTATCCAGTTGACTTTCTACTGTCTGTAGAGTATTGAATCCTATTCAGTGTTTGTGGTATACTGTTTTATCCATTTTTCAGAAGACATCTAAAAGATTGCTGGCCTAGCACATGAGTCAAATCAAATGAACTGTGGTTTTATAGCTGTTCCTTATAAGTATACTTGTAATTAAGGCTGCGTCCCAAATGGCATCCTATTCCCTATACAGGGGTTCCCACATTTTTTTGGCCCGCGACCCCATTTTGGTATGATTTGTTTTCTTCACAACCCCATCATGGGGGAAAAAAAGTTATGTAATCAATGGACAATGTTTACTTTTTTAATTGGGGCTATGACAGTATTTCAATCTAAAGTATGGTTTGAAGTGACAAATGCATCAAAGATATTGGGAAGTTCAAAAGATTATCAGGCAATCATTTTGTATGACCTTCTGTGTAGAAAAGAACATCATCGATGTTATTTTCCCCCCAGTCTGATTTAGTGCCTGGTCTGGGTGTTCTGTGCGGCTTGTGGGCATTGTAGGTGTTCCTGAGAGTCTCATCTTTCAGTGATGGGGTCAAAATATTTTGTAGCTTAAACTGTTCTATAGATAGAGCCACATTTGTAGGAAGATAACAGATGCTCTGTTTATTACAACTGCATCTAGTGGCTACCGCAGGTTACTGGCGTAACCCCTGTTCTATGAACCAAGCATGATTATTTTTTATATTTTTTAATTCAGTTTCTCTCGTGACCCCATTTTCAAATGGTCACGACCCCTAGTTTGGGAAACACTGGAAACGGGTGTCATTTGGGACGCAGGCTAAGACTGCCTTGTGGGCTATTGTGTATTATTATGGTACTTGAAACATATACAGGTAACTGCCAAAATAAAGGAAACACTTGAGTAAATGACAGATACAAAGTATATTGAAAGCAGGTGCTTCCACACAGGTGTGGTTCCTAAGTTAATTAAGGAATGAATATCTCATCATGTATAAAAATGCCCAGTTGCCCATTATTTTGCCTACCATAGCTAGAAGAGAGCTCGGTGACTTTGAAAGAGGAGTCTCAAAGGAGCATAAGGGGTTTAAAGGGTGTGTGTGTCTCAGTCACCAGATCTCAACTCAGTTGAACACTTCTGGGAGATTCTGGAGCGACGCCTGAGACAGCGTTTTCCACCACCATCAACAAAACACAAAATGATGGAATTTCTAATGGAAAGATGGTGTGGCATACCTCCAATAGAATTCCAGACACTTGTAGAATCTATGCCAAGGCACATTAAAGCTGTTCTGGCGGCTCGTGGTGGCCCAACACCCTATTAAGACACTATGTTGGTGTTTCCTTTATTTTGGCAGTTACCTGTAGCTATATCCACAGAGGTGACGATTTTGGTACTACTAAACCTGAATGGTTAGTGTGAAGACTGAATAACCATATAAAGCTGTAGAGTTGATTGTGTATGGGTGTAGCTAATGTCGGCTGCTGTTGAGTAAAGAAACCACAGTTGTGCAGAAACAGATTTAGACCATCTATCCTTTTGACAGTTGAATGATTGATTAACAGAACACAAATCTAAATAAACATTATTTTTCTTAAAACAGGGTCGATTGTGTCATTTATTAAGGTATGTACAGTACACAGAAAATTCATATTTAAGTCTTCGGAACAAAAACTTGGGCTTGTTTGGTACATAGTCACTTCATAACTGACATAATGTAAATATCTTAGACTTCCTCCTTTGAAAATAGATCTCACGTTCCATCAACAATCATAATAAAGAGCTAAAAAAAAAAGTTCTCATAAAACTTAACTGGCTCTGAATTTCTTCATGTTACATCAAAGCAAACAATAGGTAAGGTAGAGAACTTAAAAGGCACAGTGCATTACCTCCAGCACCCCAGATATCTGCACTGTCATCCACCACGGGCATAAGTCCATATCTGGACAGGGGTATGCACTATGCTTTGATGTAAGTACCTAGGTCTGGCTGGGCCTGAGGAGGCGAGGGACCCCCTCCAACAAAGCTGCCCCAGGAAAGGTCACTCCAGCTGGGCTGAGGAGAGTGTGATGAGTCCCTGTGACCTCCTCATTCCTCAGCATGGCTCAGCCTCTGGCTGTGGCTCTGGCTGGGTGCTGCTGGTCCGTTTAGAGATGACGCTCTCGTACTCCTCTCTGCTCAGGAGACCATTAGTGACTGTCTTGCTCTCCTCTATTTTAGGGAGGATGACAGCAATGTATCCCTCAGTGGAAGGCTGGTCAAATACACATGAAAGACAGGTAGGAGAGTTAGCCATACTAATGGTGATGTGATTTACCATCTCAATGGGGTACATGTAATTGAGGAACATTAGATTGACCAAAAATGTGTTTTAACTGGTATGAAGTTTATGGAAATGCTCCTCACCTTTCCCAGTAAAATTTCAGGCCTTTCAAGAATATCCTCATTGACCTCCAATAGCCGCCCCCTTATGCAGCTGAAAAGATCAACCAGGTTTACATTTCAGGCTAATTTAAAAAGACATGAGAGTAATGAATGGCACTAACCATAAAGGGTGGATTATCTGCAGAGGTGAAAATCATGATACAAGAGCAGCAAAGGTTGTAGTCACCTGTAAATGGTGTACTCCTCACCGTCTGTACATGTTATTCTACACAAAGGAGCGAACTCTGTGAGGAACTGTCCTCCCTGGAAAAGAGGAAGACGTGTTACTTTGACAGTCACAAGTCAGATCAAAGGATGTCAATACCATAGTATATAATAGTAGTGTAACATATAATATTAGTCCTAATATGCCAGAGTATCCTTACGGCAGGTAGCCTAGCGGTTAAGATCGTTGGGCCAGTAACCGAAAGGTCGCTGGCTCGAATCCTGGAGCAGACTAGGGGAAAAGTCTGTGCCCTTGAGCAAGGCACTTAACCCTAATTGCTTCTGTAAGTAGCATAGTGTCTGCTGCCCACAAAGCTCATCACTAAGCTAAGGACCCTGGGACTAAACACCTCCATCTGCAACTGGATCCTGGACATCCTGACGGGCCGCCCCCAGGTGGTAAGGGTAGGCAACAACACGTCTGCCACGCTGATCCTCAAGACTGGGGCCCCTCAGGGGTGCGTGCTTAGACCCCTCCGGTACTCCCTGTTCACCTACGACTGTGTGGCCAAACACGACTCCTACACCATCATTACGTTTGCTGATTAAACAACAGTGGTAGGCCTGTAGGGAGGAGGTCAGAGATCTGGCAGTGTGGTGCCAGGACAACAACCTCTCCCTCAATGTGAGCAAGTCAAAAGGAGCTGATCGTGGAGTACAGGAACAGGCGGGCCGAACAGGCCCCCATTAACATTGACAGGGCTGTAGTGGAGCGGGTCGAGAGTTTCAAGTTCCTTGGTGTCCACATCACCAACGAACTATCATAATCCAAACACACCAAGACAGTCGTGAAGAGGGCACACCTTTTCTACAGAGGGTAGTGCGTACGGCCCAGTACATCACTGGGGCCAAGCTTCCTGCCATCCAGGACCTATATACTAGGCAGTGTCAGAGGAAAGCCCCAAAAATTGTCAAAGTCACCCAAGTCATAGACTGTTCTCTCTGCTACCGCACGGCAAGCGGTCCCAGAGCGCCAAGTCTAGGACCAAAAGGCTCCTTAACAGCTTCTACCCCCAAGCCATAAGACTGCTGAACAATTAATCAAATGGCCACCCGGACTATTTACATTTACACCCCCCCTCCATTTGTTTTTACACTGCTGCTACGCGCTGTCTATCATCTATGTATAGTCACTATACCCCTACCTACATGAACAAATTACCTCGACTAACCAGTACCCCCGCACATTGACTCGGTACCGATACCCCCTGTAGATAGCCTCGTTATTGTTATTGTGTTACTTTTTATTATTTATACTTTAGTTTATTTGGTAAATATTTTCTTAACTCTTTCTTGAATTGCATTGTTGGTTAAGGGCTTGTAAGTAAGCATTTCACGGTAAGGTCTACACCTGTTGTATTCGGCACATGTGACAAATAAAGTTTGATTTGATATGACTAAAATGTAATAATATACCAGACTACATTAACAAAAAAATAACTTCAGTTTTAGCAGTACATACCAATGATTTGTTTTGACGACACCGCGCCGTCATCTTGGCACTCCCACGCGATTGTAAAAAATATTTTTGTAACTATAGAAATGTATTTACTAACGTCTACTTTTGTTTTTAGTAGTGCTTAGCGATTAACCAACATTTCAGTTATGAGACGTAGGTTCAATTATTTGAATTCCATTTGTCGTTTCTTCCCCGTTTTTTTCTGTGAGCTCAATGTGCACATTGCACAATTTCTCTAGAGACAAATCAGATCCAGCCTGAATACACAGATCATGTATTCGTTCAAGAAACACATTCATGCAAAGAGGATTATAATTTTTTTGGAAAATCAGTGGCGCAGTGACATTTTCTTGGCCCACGGAACTAATCATTCAGCTGGGGTTGCAATTTTAGCACACAATTTCAAAGGGACATTTTTGTTTACTCAAATGGACACCAATGGACATTGGCTAGTAGCGGTCATCAACCACATGGACATATTGTGTAATGTATATTGTTATTGTTATTTTATTTAATCTCAACACTGTTGTTGTTTTATTTTACTTTTTTATTAAAAATAAATGCACTGTTGGTTAAGGGCTGTAAGTAAGCATTTCACTGTAATGTCTGCACCTGTTGTATTCAGCGCATGTGGCCAATAAAATTTTATTTGGATACTGTTCTAGTCTCCAAATAACTTACTTCTAGAGGAAATTGAGGAAATTCTTAAAAGTCTGAGAAAATATCCATCCAGTCAGATTATAGTTGGTGGGGATTTTAACATGGTTTAGTATAATGAGACTGATAGATTGCCCCATAGGCCTAACATTGGTGTGAACAAATTGATGAATTTCTGCCAAAGCCTGGACTTAATTGACATATGGAGAGTTAAAAACCCTGGAGAGAAACAGTACACATGGAGTATTAGAGATCATTCACTACAATCAAGAATTGACTTGTGGGTGATAACCTCTAGTCTTGAGCCCAACACTGTAGAGGTAAAAATACTGCCTGTAGTCCTGACGGATCATGAAGTCATATGGCTGACTGTGAGAATGTGCAGTAATGATGACAAGAAATATTCTGGTGGTTATTGGAAATTGAATAACTCATTGTTATTGCATGATGATTTTAAAAATGTGATTAAGAATCTAATTTCTGTTTACTGGAATGTAGCTGAGCTCTCTAAGAAAATTGCTGATGTCACAAAGATCGAGCATCTTGATCTTAATGAAAAAGCTAAATTGAATGATTTACAGAATCAACTAGATACATTTTATGAGGAAAAGGCTAGAGGAGCCTTCATAAGATCCAGAAAACAATGGCTTGAAAAAGGCGAAAAGAACAGTAGATACTTTTTTTATTTGGAAAAGAGGAGAAGGGGAACTCAACACACTTCGGAAACGTAAGATTCATGGGGTAACCTCTGAGGATAGAGAGTTGGTATCAGACTTTACCACTTAGTTTAGATAATCTTTACTCCTTATTTTTAGTTATTTATTTATTTATTTTACCAGGCAAGTCAGTTAAGAACAAATTCTTATTTACAATGACGGCCTACACCGGCCAAACCCGGACGACGCTGGGCCAATTGTGCGCCGTCCTATGGGACTCCCAATCACGGCCGGTTGTGATACAGCCTGGAATCCAACCAGAGGGTCTGTAGTGACGCCTCAAGCACTGAGATGCAGTGCCTTAGACCGCTGCGCCACTCGGGAGCCCAGCACAGCTAGATAACAGTTTGAGTGACTAAGGATCTCCTTGATTCTATAGAGAATGTTAACTCTGTTAGTGAAGAATTTAAATCAGTCTTGTGAATATTTATCCATTATGGACATCCAATATGAGGTTGATCAGTTAAAAAATAACAAGTCTCCAGGTTGTGATGGATTAACCTCTGAATTTTACAAAACCTTCTCTGAAGAAATAGCACAATTCTTACTTGAAACCCTTAAAGAGGCTATAAAGAAGGGAGAACTACCTGCCTCTCTGAAACAAGAGGTTATTAGTCTTATACCTAAACCACAAAAGGATCTCTTAATTATTGATAATTGGCGTCCAATCACACTCCTAAATAAACGACTACAAAATTATAGCCTCAATCTTTGCGAAAAGGTTAAAGTTGTGCTTGAATGATCTGATTGATGAATGTCAATCAGGATTTATGAAAGGGTGCCATATATCTAATAATCTGAGGCTGGTGTTAGATTTGGTTGAGTATTGTTAGCCATTGGATGACTCCCCTGTTATCTTATTTTTGGATTTTCAGAAAGCATTTGATACTGTAAGTCACAATTTTATCTTTGATTGTCTTAAGCATTTGAAGTTTGGTAATATTTTCTGTTGACACTATTAGAACTCTGTATAATGGTGGCAATAGCTGTACCAAACTCTGTCATGGAACATCCTCAAGGTTTAACATTTACAAAGGAATACGACAAGGTTGTCCAATCTCACCTTTTTTTTTTTTTTTTTTGTTAGTTTCTCAAACCTTATGCTCATTAGTTTATCAAAGTCAATTTGAAGGCATTACATTCCAGGCCAGAGAGATCAAGATAGTCCAACTGGCGGATGACACCTCACTTTTTTGGAATAATGTGTCACAAGCTAGATTAGCATTGGATATTGTGAAGCAGTTCTCCAAAATCTCAATCCAGCAGATTGTAACATCTCTGTTAAAGATACTGTAACATACCTCGGTGTAAAGATCACCAAAAATCTTAAGGCTGTGAATGATCTTCATTTGAATCCTGTAACTGAATCTATTAAAAATATATTTTCCTCATGGTTAGGGAGGGATTTAAGTCTTCAAGGGAGGGTGCTTTTATCCAAAGCTGAGGGGCTATCTATTGACATTCCCAAACCCACTTGCTGTACCTTAGATAGGCTATTGTCCAACTTCATATGGAAAAGAAAAACAAGCCACATAAGATAAAAAGAGATGTTATCACCAACAGGGTTTGTGATGGCGGTCTAAATGTCTTAGACTTCACTTTCTCTTTAATCAGATATCAAAAGTAAACTGGGTTAAAAAGGTACTTAAAAAATCCTCAGTTTCTGGAATATTATACCTCATTTTGTTTTTCAGAAGCTCAGAGGGCTTAATTTTTTACTACAATGTCCCTATATTGTGGGAAAACTTCCTGTGAAATTGGTGGCTTTTCACAAGCAGGCTTTAATGGGCTGGGCTTTGCTGTATAAACACAACTTTTCACCTCAGATATTTATATGGAATAATGGGTCGATATTACATAGAAACAAGAGGTTATTTTACTGTAACTGGTTCTCGAAAAACATTGTCCTTGTCAGACAATTAGTTAGCATTAGTGGGACTATTTACATTTACATTTAAATTTTAGTCATTTAGCAGACGCTCTTATCCAGAGCAACTTACAGTTAGTGAATATTATTATTATTTTATTTTTTATACTGGCCCCCCATGGGAATCGAACCCACAACCCTGGCGTTGCAAACACCATGCTCTATCATGCTCTATCATCTAAAATGCATACAAAACGTCAAAAAAATGTATTCGTTACATGTCTTTATTTGATTTGATATAATGTGGATTTGTATTTTTTTTTTTTCTCTTCCTTATTTTTGTGTGTACTCCCTCTGGCTGTTCTGTTTTTTGTGTTTTACATGTTACTGTTAAATAAATAAAACTAAAAATTACAACAAAAAAAATAAAAAAAGATCCAGCCTGAACTGTGAGATGTAGTAGGGAGTTGTAGTTTAACGCTTAAAACTTGATAATTAACTACAATGACGATAATCCACTGCACATCTACTTGTCCGGTCTGTTTCTTTTAGCCTGCTACATTAGGTTAGTGTGGTGCAGACACGGAGAGAAGAATGCGCGATCGTGAGGGGATATAGAGAGCAGCTGTTGCTTCGCGAAGTATCTCTACCAGAAAATACATGATCTAAGTGATTGATAGTTGGTATTCAGCAGTCATAAAAGTATGCCTTATTTACTTTGAAGAACTACAAAACAGTGATTATGTCAGTCAGCAGCTCTATAGAGATGAGATGATGACTTGGAATGAAATAGTAAAGTCATCAAATAAAACAAATGTAATATACACAACTGAAATATTTTATAAAAGTAATGTGAATAAATTATGGTTAAGTGATAAGCAGTTAATTGTTTTATTCTGTGTTACAGCATTCAACCCAAATAATCGAAACCGAACCTACCTCAAGATGCACTAATTGCTCAGCACTTTTTTTTGGCCACGTTTATTCTATTGCATACTTTTAAATTATATTATGTGCGACAAACAAAACATTAATGAAATAATACTGTATATTAAAATGTTTTCCTTAAAGTATGTTTTTGGGTACTAATGTTACCGTCCCCACTACAACACAAAAAAATACTTAAATAGCCTACATGTAACTTTGTCCTTGAAAGTATGAAAATGTATGCACTCACTATCTGTAAGTCGCTCTGGAGAAGAGCGTCTGCTAAATGACTAAAATGTAAATGTCTAAAATGACTAAAATGTTTTTTTTAAATGAAACATTTAAATGAAATTTGGAGGACTGCTTTTCTGAGGAGTGCCAATATGGCCGACCCGTGGCTTCAAAGCCTCTACATGGCCAAAACATAGCATCAACAATCCAGGATTTATATACATCATTAGTACATACTCTCTTTGACTTCCCAGACACTCTGTTGTGCAGGCGACTGCAGCCAGCACTGATCTGATAGTTGATGCTCTTGATTGCCCTCCCGTTCTGAAGGATTGGGTGACTCTCTGCCAGGGTGATGACACAGATTCTGTCAAAAGAGATCCACAGGAACACATTAACGCCATGTTTAAATTTACTGAAAATAAATAATGTAGTCTGTGGAGGTAGCAAAGCGTTGATCAGTTTTGGGACAACATCAGGAGTCTGTATTGATTCCCGATGTTGTGTCCCAAAGCAACGCGTTGATGAGTAACTGTTTTGTTGATGAGCTGCACATTGTCAATTTGAAGTAGGAAATGAACACCTTCTCTTAGCAAGTTACCTGTTTGAATGCTGAAGAACGCACTGGTCTTCACAATCCTTGCCCTTGATATCTAAGCACAAAGAATAATACAACTTTAGTTACAACTTTGTTCATTCGTTAAGAAAAATAAGCCAGTGGTCCGCAACCACGTCCACTGAGGGATACAGGTTTGATGTTTTTGGACCAGCCCAGCTCTTACAGAAATTAGTCAACTGCACATTCTGTTAAATTACATAGCAAAGGCTGTCAGGCTAGCTACCATACCCAAAGCCAAAACACACGTGTTGGTCTCATGTCGACACCCAAGGTTAGTGGTCAACACTGTAACGTTAGCTAAAAGATGGATAGTTAGCTAATAAGTTACCTGTTTTATACCATCGAGTGTAATACCGATCGATAACAGAGGGTGCCTTATTATGCTCCATGTCTTCCATTGATAAAACAATTACTTAAGGGCATTAGCTATCTAGCTAAATAAAAACCAACTGTTTAACAGATAACTGTACAAATGCTTCGATTTCGTGACGGAGTGTAAACGCCGTTGCACACTTCTGGTCCGTCCTTTTCAATAATCCGGAAGACTTTCTAATTGAAATTCCGAACGTTCCGAGAACCTATTAATCCGTTATGAAATGACCTGATGTCAACCAACAGTTTATATATGCACTAGAGACAATCAGGGGAGCTGTTTTGAAGCCACCGCACCCCAATCTTGGCACTCCCCCACCGTTGTAAAAAATATTTTGGAAGTTATGGAAATGCATTTATTAATGTCTACATGGGTTTTTGCCACGTTTATTCTATTACAGAAACTTGAATGCATACATTTAAATTATATTATGTGAGCTAAACATAAAAATATATAAAAAGATTTTCCTTAAAGTATACTTTTTTGAAAGTTCTAATGTTACGGTCCCCACTACAACAAAAACATACTTAAATACATGTAATTTTGTCCTTGAAACATTTCATTGAAATATTGTAGAATTCCATTCATTCCTATGGAGAACTTATTTTTCTTGGGAGTGCCAATATGGCCGACCAGTGGCTTCAAAGCCTTTCATTGATCAATACATAACATCAGCAATCCAGGGTTTATTTATATACAGTTGAAGTCTGAAGTTTACATACACCTTAGCCAAATACATTTAAACTCAGTTTTTCACAATTCCTGACATTTAATCCTAGTAAATATTCCCTGTTTTAGGTCAGTTAGGTTCACCACTTTATTTTAAGAATGTGAAATGTCAGAATAATAGTAGAGAGAATGGTTTATTTCTGCTTTTATTTCTTTCATCACATTCCCAGTGGGTCAGAAGTTTACATACACTCAATTAGTATTTGGCAGCATTGCCTTTAAATGGTTTAACTTGGGTCAAACGTTTCGGGTAGCCTGCCACAAGCTTCCCACAATCATTTGGGTGAATTTTGGCCCATTCCTCCTGACAGAGCTGGTGTAACTGAGTCAGGTTTGTAGGCCTCCTTGCTCGCACACGCTTTTCAGTTCTGCCCACACATTTTCTATAGGATTGAGGTCAGGGCATTGTGATGGCCACTCCAATACCTTGACTTTGTTGTCCTTAAGCCATTTTGACACAACTTTGGAAGTATGCTTGGGGTCATTGTCCATTTGGAAGACCCATTTGCGACCAAGCTTTAACTTCCTGACTAATGTCTTGAGATGTTGCTTCAATATATCCACATAATTTTCCTTCCTCGTGATGCCATCTATTTGATGAAGTGCACCAGTCCCTCCTGCAGCAAAGCACCCCCACAGCATGCTGCCACCCCGTGCTTCACGGTTGGGATGGTGTTCTTCGGCTTGCAAGCAGCCCCCTTTTTCCTCCAAACATAATGATGTTCATTATGGCCAAACAGTTCTATTTTTGTTTCATCAGACCAGAGTTGCAAACCATAGTCTGGCTTTTTTATGGTGGTTTTGGAGCAGTGGCTTCTTCCTTGCTGAGCGGCCTTTCAGGTCATGCCGATATAGGACTCGTTTTACTGTGAATATAGATACTTTTGTACCTGTTTCCCTGTTTCCTCCAGCATCTTCACAAGGTCCTTTGCTGTTGTTCTGGGATTGATTTGCACTTTTTGCACCAAAGTACGTTCATCTCTAGGAGACAGAAGATGTCTCCTTCCTGAGCGGTATGACGGCTGCGTGGTCCCATGGTGTTTATACTTGCGTACTATTGTTTGTACAGATGAACGTGGTACCTTCAGACGTTTGGAAATTGCTCCCAAGGATGAACCAGACTTGTGGAGGTCTACCATTTTTTTCTGAGGTCTTGGCTGATTTCTTTTGATTTTCCCATGATGTCAAGCAAAGAGGTACTGAGTTTGAAGGTAGGCCTTGAAATACATCCACAGGTACACCTCCAATTGACTCAAATGATGTCAATTAGCCTATCAGAAGCTTCTAAAGCCATGACATCATTTTCTGGAATTTTCCAAGCTGTTTAAAGGCACATTCAACTTAGTTTATGTAAACTTCTGACCCACTGGAATTGTGATACAGTGAATTATAAGTGAAATAATCTGTCTGTAAACAATTGTTGGAAAAATTACTTGTGTCATGCACAAAGTAGATGTCCTAACCGACTTGCCAAAACTATAGTTTGTTAATAAGAAATGTGTGGAGTGGTTGAAGAACGAGTTTTAATGACTCCAACCTAAGTTGGAGTCATTAATTGTACATCATTGATGTCAACAGGTGTTATCTTGATGTTTCCTGCTATAATCTTAAAGAGTGACTTCTCGTTTTGAAAACAGCCTATGTGGCATTGATATGAGTTAGAAACATTTATTCTAGTGTCAAAGTTGACTACAAAGTGTAAATAGGATAATTTTGGTCATAAAGTCAGCCTCATCCAAAACTCAGATTTGCGAGATGATAGGAAAAAATAGTATGTCACGGAATGAAGGGTAGGTTACCGTAACAGTTTTCATTGGGTTGGGTGTACTTGCAATCATGCCCATAGCACATTCGATATCCCTATGGGACAATATTTTTAAATGTCAATAGCTCCAAATTTCAACGACTTAAGACCATCGTGTTAGTGAAAATCGCCCCTTTCCATAGAGTGGTTTGTAGGTCATAATAGTTTGCAGGTCAAACCGTTCGGACGCTACAGATGTTTTCGTGAGAAGACCAATTTTCGGGATGTCTCATGGTCTGACAAACACCGCTCTAGCTCTGCCACCTTTCACCGCAGATGCGGAAATGCGACATCGGCGGATGCGGTGGATTGATGCAATGCAAAAACAGATATCTCTAGCTTAAACTGATGGATTTTGATGGGGATTTTTTTATTATGTGACTTAGATTGTGTCAAAGTTGCGTCAATTCAAATCTGGCATTAGGAACAAAAGAGGTCAACACGACTTCTAAGATATACTAGTTATTTTAATTAATGCAAAAACCTTCAATGGTAAATATGATGTTTCGTATATACGGGCTCTCCGAAATACCCCGCAGGGCACTTCAGAGAACTAAATCCATTGTTTCAGATTGTTCTTCAAATACTCTTACAGAGAGAGTTTCCCACCTCTCTGCTGGCCAATCAGAGTAGAGACTTGAGCGTGGTTTAGACTTACTCAGCCTATCCGTTGGCGCACCGGCTGTTCCCCGCCTCTTCTGTTACCACGCATACGTTTATCATAACAACCTGTCATAGTGAGAAGAGCCAGCTCCCTTAGACACCATTCCTACGTCCAAGGAAGGTTCACAGATCACAAAGAACCAGTATAGTCTAGCATTTGGAGACACAAATCCTTATCTCATTTTACCCCCTAAAACAGCTCTTCACATCAATCACAGCTTGCCAGGTGACACAACCTATATTAGCCCAGTCAAGAATGCATTCTTTCTAAGTTAGTCATCCCATCAATTATAAAAATAATAAATCTCTCACAATTGCGTCAATTGACTGAAGGGGGTTTTAAAATAACTGATCTCAGTCCTCTTTAAAGTGAACACGGGTAAAAAATAAAATAAATGTGAACTCGCTTAATTTTTTGTGTGAAGTGAGAACACTCCAAATGAACTCAGACCCTTCAAAAGAGCCCCCGAAGCGAACTGAACTGAATCTCCAGAGATGGTCTGAGTTCGGTTCGCCTGAATGTCGCGGTCCGGTTCCCTTTTTTAGGACAGTGTGAATGCAGGTTCGGCTCTTTTGAGAGGACTGAGTTCCTTTGGAGAGTTCACACTGCACAAATAATTAAGCGAATCGCACTGAGGTCACAAACATTTCCTGAAAGGGACCGTGTGAAAACACCCTTAGATTCGATGTTGCTGCAGTGCGGTTTCCAACATGATCATTTGAAGAACAGGCTGTCAGTTTCTCATGCCCTTCAAGCTCAGCTTTATGCTATTAATAATGAACCCAACCCCTAAAACTGTGATAAATCCAAAATGCTGTTGTGGAGTAGGCCTACTGTGTAATAGCCTACATAAGCACACAGCCGTTTGATTGACGTGTCCCGAGATGTCTGAAAGGATAGCTTTAAACTTGCAACCCCTGACCTCTCTCCTCGAGCAAAGTGTGCTTGGCCCATTATTGTGCCTTCTACTCTCTGTTATAATGCCACTAGATGTCACTGTAATACAACCTTGGAGAGGTTAGTTAATGGCAACTTCATCAGGGTAATACAAGCCATATACATGCCAGTTAGCCCCAGTCTCTAAAGTTTTAATTGATGAATAATCGTGGCTGTTCTACCGAACGTAGGCTCCTACTGACTGATGTGTTTTGTTCTGATTCTGTTAAAGGTATTACGATAAATGTTTTGTGTTGTTGGTAATGGGACCTCAATCTGTTTTATTTCCTGGAAGTTCTTATCAATATCAATACAACTTTTTATATTCAGCTTTAATAAATATTCCAACATGCAAATTATTGTCACCGATTACGTAATTATTTCTAAGGGCTAGGGGTGGGACAGAGGGACCATAGGAATGTTTTCCCTTCCTGAGTTTGAGAAATTGAGACTCAATGTTGACAGGTCAGATTCCAGGCATATCGGACGTGGATGTTTGGCTACGTGGACCATTTGGAGGGAACCATTATTTATTTATTGCACAAGGCAGCTTAGGTGATATTACCTCATGTTGGCCAGGAGAGAGATAGAGGGGGTGTGTGTATGTGTGTATGGGTGGGTGGGTGGGTGGGTGGGGGGGGGGGGGGGGTGCAGAATAGAGAGAGAGGAAGAGAGGTACAGGACATATAGTTTTTCCATGTATCGGCTAACTGGAAACTGTGGCTGAAAACTGCCTACTAAATATGCTTTTCAATTACTCTTCTCTGTGGTAGTGTATAGTCTGCAATTGATTCAGAAAAAACAGACAAAACTGCAGCTGAGACAGTGGAAATAAATATAAATAATGCATTGGATCTGGTAAAAAACAAAAAAACTGTTACATCCTATGACTGAAATACTACAATACTTCCCTCCAAGTCTCCCAGTCTGGGTTGGTGTGACAGAAATAGGAGTGTATTTAGTCTCTGTGAGAGGAGGATGATGCTCATCTCTCAACTGGCTGCTGTAAGTCAAGTGTTCAACAATGTGCGTTACAAAGACATCTGTCACCACAGGAACAACAATTA